GCCCATTTTGGTCAATCAAAGTTGTACAACCCTCTTTTTACCATTCAAAACACTTTGTTTATTTATTTTATTTTTATTTATTTTTTAACAAAGTGAACTAACAACAAAAGACTAGAAAATAAAATAAAGCAAATCTCTACGCCTAGCACCCCCAGCAAGAGAGGGAGTATCTGAAGTCCTTGAGACCTTCCGAATATGACAAGTAGAAAAGGAGGATAAAATATCCCTGATTTCCTGAACAATCTAGACCACCGAAATATCTGATGACCCAAGCTCCATAGGCAACCGATGGATAATCATACAGTCAATGAGAAGATTATTCCGCATAAAAACCCATTGACAAGCATGTTTAAGCCAAAAAGACAAGCATGTAACTCAGAATGAAGCGCATAGCTTGTCGTACAAGCCCGGGAACCACCCCCAATCTAGGAAGAAGAGGGATCCCAAAAACACCATGTACCTACATTATGATTCTCTTGTTCCTAGGCACCATCAAAAATCATAACGATATCACGGGTCGTTTGACGATTACCCCGAAGAACCTGACTCACGTAAAGGCAAGAGAACCCAAGGGGAATACCATCAAAATAATTGGATAACTCACAAGCCTTTCCACTTATGTCACTCCAGTCAAAGGCGAGATCCAAAACAAATTAGGGAGAGTAAACTGCCGATCGAAACCTAACATTATTCTGGGTAAGCCAGATAGCCCAAAAGATCCTGAAGAAACGATCTAAAGCAGACCAGTTCTTGGTCGTAGCATAACTGGAAATAAGACTCGAGAACTAGTCGTGAAAAGGAAGAAGAGTATCAGGCGTGGGAAGTGAATCCCAAGGAATAGAATCCCATAAACGTCAAGAGAAAGGACAATCCTAAAATAAGTGTTCCACCGACTCAGAAGAAACATGACAAACACACACCCGTCGAATCAATCGGAACGCCCTTAAGTACTAGTAATCCCACCGTATGAAGAGCATTATGTAAATCTTTCCAAGCCATCATTTTCCACTTTGGAAGAACATGCAAACCCCATAACCATTTTCACCAAAAAGACAAAATTGAAGTGCAAGGTAAGGATAAATGCTGAGAAAGTAAACCTGTGTAGGCAGATTTGGCCGAGAAAGATCTATCCCGAGTGTATTTCCAATAAACAAAGTCATCAATCTTCTGTAACAAACGTTCTAAACCAAGAATCGCCGAAGCTACAAAATTAGGGAATAGATGCCTAACCAGAGACGCATTCCAAGCACCACAATTTGGAAAGTAACAAAGCATAAACCACAAAAGGACGTTCCTCTACATGAATACAATCCTTAGAAACAATCCTAACATTAGGCACCTAGCAATCCTGCAAGATGCTAACATTTTCACCCAAGCCTATCTTCCAAGCCAAACCCTTGGAAAGAGCTAACCCCCCCCCCCCGCGCCAAACCACGACTTCCCTAAGAAGGACGAGGACAAGTAATAGAAGGCTTGGAAGAAAGTAACGAAGGATACTTAGCTTTAAGGACCCGAGAAGCTAAGAGCTCAGGATTGAGCCTCAACCACCAAGCTTGCTTGGCAAGCAAAGCTAGATTAAAGGATCAAAGACGGCGATACCCAAGTGTACTTGTTACTTGTATACCTAATTTGAAACATTATCTCAAAACAAAAACTAGTAAAACATGTTAATATATGAATAATACAGAGTATGATTCAACGTATAAATAAGTTTTAATTAATGTTGATTAATTTTAAAATGTAAAAATCAAATCAAATGTAATTAATTAAATTAATTTTTTTTAGAAAATAGGTTAATTAATACTCGATAACACTAGAATCAATATAAATTGATTTCATTGATAATATTCAGTCATAATACTCAATAGTCATTTTGGTCCAATAAAATCAGGTGATTTGAACAAGACTTTGATTTCTCTTGCATTCTCTCTTCAAGACAAGATTATTAACTTTCTGATCATACCAACACTGCATATGAAAATTCTCATGAGGACCATTAGTTTCCAGTATTGCTCAACTATAAACGTCACTAACCTTAAAAGATGATGGCCCACAAAAGCATTACTTTGTAAAAAAAAAAAAAAAAAAAAAAAAATCTAAGGGACTATTATTAGTGCATTAACGCTAACATATTTCTTGTATAACTATATATTGTTACTTATCCTTAATCAATCACTAATCAATCACTTTTATTCGACATTCGATAGAGATATAATTTCAAGCAAATTGCCTTTTTTTTTTTTTAATTTTTTTTTAATTATAAAGGTATAACAAGTTACAACTTAATGTAATCAAATATGAACTATTCAAACCAACACGTATTCATTAAATTATGATGTAAGCGAGCATTTTTCACGTGCCAGGTGGCTCGACAATCAAAATCGTGCAAATGACAAACTTTCTACCATCGCTTTAATGATAAACGCTTTGTCGCCTTGAGATAAGAGTTACTTATAAATATAAATCATCACAACTTAGGGTATATTCTCTTACGTTGAAATTCAGTTCAGTTTAGTTCAGCTCAATTCAGTTCAGTTCAGTTTCCAATTTCGATCTCTTATAAAATATTCATTTCAATTCAGTTCACTTCAGCTGAGTTCAGTCAATGAGAACAGACCCTTAGACAAGATGGTCAAGACTCAAAAACACGTCAAATTGATAAGCTAGACAAATTATTAGGTAACATTCCTACTACTACCAACATTAAAATCCTAACAGTAATTAAGCCACAAATTCCTTTTTTACCCATCTTTCTGTCTTTCACCATCACTCTCCCTTCCAAGCACCATCGTCCTTTCCACACTCTACCCCTCCTACTCAATTTCAAAAAGCAACACATTCTAACAATTCATCTCCATCTTCAACATGGAAGGGTAAGCTACTTTCTCTCTTTCCCTTTATTCATCAATCAATCATTCAATTAAATTTCGCCATTATTACCAAAATCCAAGATTAACCTAGATTTTGTTTGTTGTTCAATTGCAGATCCGACTTCTACCCAGATCGTACAACCCAACAAACCCCGACATACTCAACCGCCGCATACTCCACCACAAGCGTCCACGTCACCGCCCTCGACGGCCTCGTCAACGTCAACTCCCTCTTCACAATCGCCGTCTTCGTCGGGCTCTCCCTCACCACTCCCGGCCAACGCAGCCTCGAGAATCGCACCTCCTGCGACGCCGGCATCGACGTCGCTAAAAAACTCCTCGTGTTCGAGGTCGTCTCGTTTAGCTTTTTCCTCTTCTCGTCCCTGGTTGCGCAGGGATTAAAGCTTGCAATCAACATATTAAATAGCAAGGATGTTGATGAGGTTTTTAGGGCCCACATTAATACCAAAGTATTGAGGGTTGGAATGTTGGGTTCTGCTATTGGAAGTGTTATGGGGTGTTTGTTTTTGATGTTGTCAATGGTTAATGTCATTGAAATTAGGTTGGGTTTGTTGAGTTGTGGGAGTAAATCTGCTACTCATGCTGTTGCTGCTTTGGTTATTCTTGTTACTTCTGCTCTTTTGGTTTATATTTCTACTGCTCTTTATGCTTTCTTGCATTGATTTCATGTATTCGGATTCTATTCGTTGTATAAAAATTGTGTCAATTTTCCAAGAAATTTGCTCTATTTTCTGGTGTTTTTTTGGTTGCATTTTGATTTGTTAATGCCTTTGATTGGTCTGTTGGGTGAAATCGAAGATAATTGTCTTAATTGTATGTATGTTGAATTTTGGCCTTATTGTTTGAGTTATTTATGGTTGTTTTCCTCATTGACCTAAGTATTGTGGATAAGTTTATGTTCCAATCAATGCTGGATGAACTTTCGAGTTTTCGGAATAACTAGCTTGTTATGTGCTTGGAGCTCAATTTGGTTAATTGAGCGGGTAACAATGGAGCATTAGTATTCTAAGGAGTCGCTTTGATAGATCGAGCTTAGCTCGTTAGTCCTAACTGGCTAACTTCGGTTGAACTTGGTGTTCTTGTAGTTTGAGCTGTTGTAATATAGTGTGATTGAGCTAGTTAAGCTAGGCCATTCTAGTACTGAACTGTTCTGGTGTCTTGGTGTACTTAAGTGAGTTAAGCCTGTCTCATTAGCCTCCATGGAGTTTTTATATACTGTTTGACGATTCATACAATCAATTTCATTTTACGAGTTTACTACTTCATTCAACATCATAGGAGAAAATCAGTATTCTAGTGGAATAGAGTCTTTTGCTCATATTGGTTGTGCTTTGAGGACTCAGAGCATTTCTTATAGATTTAGTCTCAACATCACTTGATCAGCGAGCTCTTAGTTCTTTGAACTACACAAAGCAAACTTTGGTCCTGTAAAAATTGTTGTGAGTAATAAGAAGCAGAGGTAGTAAATAAATAAAAGTTATTCCGATAAAACAAAAGTTATTTATGAACCCAGCAAAAATGAACAAACCAACCACGAACCCTTCCCTATCATCAATTAAAGCTTTAATTGGTCAAATTTAACCATAATACTGTAGATGGTTAAATTTGACCAAATAACCTACAAATTTGAGTTTCAGCGGCAATGATGAAACAACAAGAACATGAAGAGTGAGAAAATGGAGGTGGCGACGGTGGTGGACGAATTGAGGGGAGATGAACAAAGAGAGAGAAATTTCCGGGTAGATGAAGATAGAGCGGAAATCACAAGTAGTGTGGTTTTAAAAAAAAGTAAGGGTAATTTTGTAAATTCACAAAAAATACTAATTAAAAAAATAATCTACTTTGTTGCGAGTAATGTGCATCCATTTTTGGTAATGTGAAGCATCCACTTTTACAGTATTTGTTTTAAGGAAACTTTATAATTTTAGGGCAGTTTTACAACGGATATAAGAATACCTATTTTACGCCCCAATTGTTTTAAAAGTTTGTTATAAAAGTGTGCTAAAATCAATTTCCACAAACAAGGTAAAAACAAAACTTATGACGATGAATTCTGACCGTTGATATTATCTAGAACCTATAGATCTTAAGTCATCTGGCGGTTGACAACTTGACATATGCGCGTAATCTCCCGGCGCTTTTTTTCTCTTCCTCTTTGGAGGTTTTCAATTTTTCACTTATACGCTGCGCCATTCTATCTCCTCCGAGTTTTCCATTGAATCGCAGTCCATGTTCTCCATTGAAGCGCCTTCTGATATTTCTATCCTCCATTGAAGCAACTTCTCAGGTAAGTTCTTGTTTCTTTTTGTAATCTTCCGATATCAATTTCACAATCTAGGGTTTATCGTTGATCCAATTTAATTTAATTGTCAGTATAGCAAATTTAGGGTTCCGGAATTCTAAACTTTTGCTATCGAAATTATGAGCCTAATTAATTGAATCAAATTCGCCTTTTCTTCCTATAATTGTGTGACTTTTCGAGCCTGATTTGGTAGTTGAATCGAATTTGGTTGTTCATGTATTGCTGAACCCTTTAATTTTAGGTTTGAACTATGAAATTACCCTTGAATTTGATATGTGTGTGTTTATTGTCTTTCAATTTCTCACACTACAAAATTAGTGTTTTGCTGGCTGCAGTTGTAGGCGGCGAAGCAAGCGTTATTTGAGGAATTCATTAGTTTACCAGGCAATAATCTTTGTGGCATAATACAACTATTGTTTTGTTGAATTGATTGAGAGAATCTATGGGGGAATCTGAGGATGTGAAATCAAAGTCGAGGAAGGAGGAGATTGAGACCAAGGAGGAGTCTAGAAGGAGTCGAGGCCGTGAACATGAAAAAGAAAGAGAAAGGGACAGGGATAAGGAAAGGAATGGGGAAAAGGAGAAAAAGAGAGACAGGGAGAAGGATAGGGAGAGTAGGCGGTCGGAGAGAGATAGAAGTGTAGATGATAAGCATAGGGAGAGGGAAAGGGATCGGGATAGAGAGAAGCACAGGGATAAACACAGGGATAGGGAGAAGGAGCGGAAAAAGGATCACAAAGATAAGGATGGAGATAGAGAAAGTAGAGAGAAAGAGAGAGAAAAGGAGAAGGCAAAGGATAGAGAACGAGAGGAGAAAGAGAAGGAGCGGGAGAAAGAAAGGGATAGAGAGAGGGAACGGGAGAAAGAAAGGGAAAGAGAGAGGGAGCGAGAGAGGGAAAGGGAAAGAGATAAAGAGAGGGAGAGAGAAAGGGAACGAGAGAGGGAGAGGAGGGAAAGAGAAAGAGAACGCGAGAGGAGAGAACGTGAAAGAGAGAGGGAGAGGGAAAGGGAAAGGGTGAGGGAAGAAAGAGATAAGGAGAGAGAGAGGCGGCGCCGTGAAGCAGTAATTGATGACAGTGGCGATGAGAGGAAGGACAGAGATAGGAAACGGCGAAGGAGAGATGATGAGAACAAGGAGAGAGACCGAGAACGGAGTAAATCAAGAGACCGAGAAAGAAGTAAATCAAAAGATCGAGATAAAAGCAGATCACATAGGCACCGGGATGATAGTGTGGACAGCCAGAAGAAGAAGAGTGATGATGAGCCTGACAGAATTCAGGAATTAATGGAGACAAAGGAACAGGACATGGAGGAGGAACAGAAGAGATTGGATGATGAGATGGAGAAACGGAGGAGGAGAGTTCAGGAATGGCAAGAGCTGAGAAGGAAAAAGGAAGAAGAGGAACGACAACAGCTTGGGGAGGCAAATGCTGAAGAACCTAAAGCAGGTAAGAAGTGGACACTAGAAGGTGAATCTGATGATGAAGAACCTGCTACAGAAGGGCAGTCAGATACAGATATGGATGTGGATAGAGTATTTAAACCGCCAGTTGAAGCTGGTGAACCTATGGCTGTTGATGTTGAGAATGGAAATGCATTACCTAATGGGGGTGCTGCTGCAGCTGAAGAGGAAGATATTGATCCTCTGGATGCCTTTATGAACTCAATGGTGTTGCCTGAAGTTGAGAAACTGAGTAGTGCTGTGCTTGATACAGAAAGTACTGAATTGAATGGCAAGGATAAAAATATTGAACAAAGCAATGGTGAGGTGTCTAAGAAAGCTCCAAAGAAATTTCTTGGAAGAATAATGCCTGACGAGTATTCAGACCCTGAGTACGAGGATCAAGAGGACGGGGGAATGAATTTAGAGGATGAAGATGATGATGAGTTTGTTAAAAGGGTGAAGAAGACTAAAGCTGAGAAATTAGCCATAGTTGATCATTCAAAGATTGATTATATAGACGTCAGGAAGAATTTTTACATTGAAGTAAAGGATATTGCAAAGATGACTCTTGAGGAAGTTGATGCTTACAGGAAGGAGCTGGAGCTGAAAGTTCATGGAAAAGATGTGCCAAAGCCAATCAAAACCTGGCACCAAACTGGACTAACAACTAAAATTCTGGAGGTGATCAGAAAGATGAACTTTGAGAAGCCAATGCCAATCCAAACTCAGGCTTTGCCCGTAATTATGAGTGGTCGAGATTGCATTGGTATTGCAAAAACTGGTTCGGGAAAGACCTTGGCTTTTGTGTTGCCAATGTTGAGGCACATTAAGGACCAGCCACCTTTGATGTCTGGAGATGGTCCAATAGGACTTATTATGGCCCCTACAAGAGAGCTAGTCCAGCAAATTCACAATGACATAAAGAAATTTGCCAAAGTAATGAATTTGACCTCTGTACCTGTATTTGGTGGCTCAGGTGTTGCGCAGCAAATAGGTGATCTGAAGAAAGGAGCAGAGATTGTTGTATGCACCCCTGGTAGAATGATAGATATACTTTGTACAAGTGGTGGTAAAATAACAAATCTTAGAAGAGTTACCTTCTTGGTCATGGATGAAGCTGACAGGATGTTTGATATGGGTTTTGAACCTCAGATAACGAGAATTGTCCAGAACATAAGACCAGACCGTCAAACTGTATTATTTTCTGCTACCTTTCCTCGTCAGGTTGAGGTTTTGGCAAAGAAAGTCCTGAATAAACCGGTGGAAATCCAGGTTGGTGGGAGAAGTGTTGTTAACAGAGACATAACCCAGATGGTTGAAGTTAGGCCTGAAAGTGAAAGGTTTCTTAGACTCTTGGAACTGCTTGGGGAGTGGTATGAAAAGGGAAAGATTCTGGTCTTTGTCCATTCCCAAGATAAATGTGATGCATTGTTTAAGGATTTACTCAAGAGTGGTTATCCTTGTCTTTCTCTTCATGGTGGAAAAGATCAGGGGGACCGTGAATCCACCCTTGCAGATTTTAAGAGTAATGTGTGCAACTTATTGATTGCTACTAGCATTGCTGCTAGGGGTCTTGATGTAAAGGATCTTGAGCTAGTAGTTAATTTCGATGTCCCCAACCATTATGAAGACTATGTTCATCGTGTTGGCCGGACAGGTCGTGCTGGTCGCAAGGGGCATGCTATTACTTTTATTTCTGAAGATGAAGAAAGATATGCTCCTGATCTTGTGAAAGCTTTGGAACTCTCAGAGCAGCCCCTTCCACAGGATCTGAAAGCGCTTGCCGATGGGTTCTTGGCAAAGGTGAGACAGGGTCTTGAGCAAGCCCATGGAACAGGTTATGGTGGAAGTGGGTTTAAGTTTGATGAGCAGGAGGATGAAGCACGGAAAGCAGCGAAGAAAGCACAGGCCAAAGAGTATGGTTTTGAGTTTGACAAGTCAGATTCAGAGGATGAAGACGATGAAGTCCGCAAAAGAACAGATGTTACTGTACCCAACCCTGCTCTTGGTGGGCAAGGGTTACCAGATACTACAGGGCATCCTGCCTCGGTGTCGGGCACAGCTGGCTCAGTGCCTGGCTCTATACTGTCAATCAATTCAGCAGATAATCCAGCTAGGGCAGTTGCCCTCGCCGCATCAATGAAGATACTACAGAATTTAGCCAAGCTACAACAAGATGCAATGCCTGAGCACTATGAGGCAGAACTTGAAATCAATGATTTCCCACAGAACGCTCGCTGGAAGGTGACTCATAAGGAGACCTTGGGTCCTATATCTGACTGGACTGGAGCTGCCATCACAACTAGGGGACAGTATTATCCTCCTGGCAAGGTTGCAGGTCCTAATGAACGTAAACTATACCTCTTCATCGAGGGACGTTCAGAGCATTCAGTCAAAACAGCTAAAGCAGAACTGAAGAGGGTTTTGGAGGATATCACATCGCAAGCTATCTCTCTTCCAGGCGGGGCCCAACCTGGCAGGTATTCTATTCTCTGATAACCAGAGTCTTAATTGTACTGCCTTAATGGTAGTACATTGGTCATCCTGAGATTGGAATCAGTATTAGATGCTGCTGGTGTACCATCATCCATTTGCTTTGCTATACTTTATTAATGTTTTGCTTACTTTTGTAACATTAAGTCTGGTTGTCATTTCTTAAATGATTCTGTTGTGATGGATGAGACTTGCTAAGCTATGATGCTCTAAACTTGGTACATCATTCATCTTTATATCTGATTTTGCTTGTGAGGAGTAGAAATTCATTGGTATGTGTCAGATTAGGGGTATGAGGATATTCATGGATAAACCTGCCTAAATGCTATCCATTTCTATGTTTTTTCCCATACATATGTTGTAGTTCACTAATTTGACTTAACAGTTCAGCATTTGAATATTTATGCTTGATCTCTGGTAGTCCGTGCCTCTTTTGATCGATTTCTTTTTTCCTTTTTTTTCCTCTCGTTTTCATCTTTAACCTGAGCTCGAGGGAGGATCAGAGGAGACCATTGCCTTTTGACAGAAGTGGCTTACTGTCTTGCATGGCTTCTGGAGGCTTACAGAAAGCAATTTGGGTACCTGCACTTCAAGCCTTCAATTATGATGGATCTCATTGACTGATTTCTTGATATTTTGGTCGGGGTGAAAGCTCATATGTTTTTTTTTGCTGATTGTAGGTCTGACAGTTGGAAAACCAGAAGCACTTCCTTGTATAAGCTTAAATGGGGTTATTGCAATTGCTTCCCCCCAGAAGTATCTTTATAGCTTTGTGATATTGTATGTTGAAGATATTGTGATTGGTTAGGTTCTGTTCAAGGTTAAATTTAGATTACGATTTATCTTTTGCTCTCAAATAAATCCTTTGGCTACCTTGCTAGTTTGTCAAATTTTGTCAGTTTCTAGTTTGGTTAGATCGGGGTCGGGAATTTGATGAAGGTGATGATGTATAATTGACAGGAAGACCGACCTTAGATTATGCTTACTAGTTTGGTTAGATCGGGTAGGGAGTTTGTTGAAGGTGATGATGTATATATAGACTGGATGACTTGCCTTAGATTATGGTTAATTGTTTAGCTTGTTATTGGACAGTGATGGACTGGTGTTATGTACCGCTGTTTGCTGAGATCTTATGAACTTTGGAGACTTATGTTATGGATCCTGAGTTTTGTAGCACTGGGGAGTGTAAAGATAATGAAGGATGTGAATCAACTGGCATTACTTGGATACTATTTAAGATATTGTAGTTAGTGGTTAATTTTAGGTAGAAAGACTTTAGAATTCCAACTTTTGGGAGTATATACTAGAAAGTAGATTGGTTGACTGGAAAAAAAACCCAGGTAGTGACCTCATGTAGCTGTATGCCTGAACCTCCTCGGTAGTTTATGTCTCACCACAGAGAAAGTAAGTTGCCTAGCAGTCTATGTTGCTTAGACCGGATTTGGGTGTTGTGCCTGATATGTTGGATCCTCTGACACTAGATTTTACAAAAATCTATATTAAGCGACTATATACTCCGTATTTAGGTGTCGTGTTGAAAGATCCGACATTCAACACTCAACGTGCGACAGGGTGTCAAGTTAACATAGCTAGCTGCTAGTTAAATGAAAGCTTTACTGCACAAAAAGAAAGTTACTCCATTTTTGTGAAGTCTATCATTCTATGTCTTGCCATGAAACTACATGAGCGGGTTATTTACTTTCTCCTTATCCCTCACATGACCAGTTATAACCAGATCTAGAGGATTGGCTGTTGAACCTCTGAAGGCTTTTCGGGAGTTTTGATTACAGTAAGACTGGATGGAGTTATTAGAAGATCATGGATGTTGTAGATTGCCTTTTGTCTGTTTTCCAGGTCCTGAAGTTCTTAGAGATAATAAACACTCTTTTTGCGCGGTTCTTGCTGTCTAAGCCTAGCTTTGCAGGGCCTCAGGTGTACGCCGTGTACCCTCTGATTTTCATAAGAGGGTCGTCAACTGTTTGGTCCTATAGGCTTTTCGATTTTTCAATCCACTAATCCAGGATCCTTTAGGCTATTATGCTTGTACTGATCATTACTTGATTTAAGGATGGGCAAATCAGTTACCAGTATAATTACTTGAACACGGGTTAGAGACAAAGATTGAGTTAAATCAGGCCTGAAGGTTGAACTCGTATTAGCTTAGTTAGAATCGATTAGAGACAATACACATATATTCTTCATAAGATAATATACAGAGTAACAATATGTGACTTGTGCATAACCATGATTACAATAATGGTGATGTTTATATAGCTCAATCTTATTATCATGTTTTACAAATTGATTCAATAACATAAAAATTCTTATTCCATGTTAAACAAAATTATATATATATTAAAAAAAAATGTACCTATGATTAACAGCATTTTAGTTACTAATGTACAAAAAATTAAAAAAGAAAGGAAAAGGAAAAGAAAAAGAATGAAGAAAATTATCACAAATCTCAATGTTAACAAAACCCCATCATTGATAATCTAGGTTATACAAGAATCAAAAATACAATTTTTCCATGAATTTCATAAAAATTAGAGATCTTACTATAATCTCTTTCCATGCATCCTCCTCCAATGAGGATTAATCAATACGAAGTATAATTTTCTTCTTCAATCTTGTTTATATTAATCTTCCTTTAGTTTTTCTTTCTTTCTTTTGAGGCTTCAAATATCTTAAGCAAGAAAAAACGAAACAAAATAAAATATCTATGAACCTAAAGCAGCAAATCCACCACCTTTCATCATTTGCTTAAACTCTTTATAATTAACCATTCCATCACCATCAACATCCACCTTGCTAATCATCTTCTTACAATCATCAATTGTTCTTCCTTGCTTCAAACCCAATGATTGTAGAACAGATCTCAACTCCTCGACGGTTATAAAACCGTCACCATTTTGATCAAACACGTTGAATGCCTCCCTCATGTCCTCCTCCTCGTCCCTCTCGTCCATTATTGTTTGGTACAAAGCACCAAATTCTTCCATATCAACATAACCATCCTTATTCACGTCGATTTTTTCTATCATTTGACTAAGCTCTCTATCGGGAATGTATATTCCCAAATTTTGTAGAGAATCGTTTAACTCCTTTTTCGTGATCTTCCCATCTCCATTCCGGTCAAACATCTGAAAAACTCTTTTGAGTTCTGCTTGATCCATTACTTTGAACTTAGATCCCTCCAAATAAACAAACAACAACGTTTGACTTACGTACCTTTCTTTGTATTATTATAATGATCTCTTTACAATCTCCAAATAAGGAGATGGTTAAATTTAATGTGATGACTTTGAAATGAACATCGAGATAAGAGGAAAAAACAGACCTTTAGAACAAATGCAACAAACAAAGAGGATAATAGAAAGGGAAAGTAAGTTTCGAAAACAAAAAAAAAAAAATTGGCAAAATTAATTTGGGAGAGATTTTGTTTTTGTGAAATGAGGGGCAAAAAAGTTGTACCCCAAAAAATTGGATGCAAAAGATGAAAATTGGTAGAATTGAGTAGGATAATTAGGAGAAGAGGCAAGAATTTCGAAGAGTCGTTGATTTATAAGTAGTTAGTTGGATATATACTTGTCTCTTTCTGTTTTAAGGGGTTTAGATTATGCAATTTAATTTTATCTTTTTTTAAAAGGGAGTTGGAATTGGCGCGTTTTTCGTCGTGGCTAGCTCATTCTTAATTCATGGAGTCCATAACTGTTGGAATACTTGGTCTTAATCACATGCTTTTGGTTGTTTAATTATATAATTAATAATAACGTAGTATAATTATTGAGAATTTACAAGTAAAATACTCTTGTTTTGGACTTGGTATGTTTAAAATAGAAGGTACATGACTATCTTTTTTTATTGTCTAGAAACTAAGAGTTGACAAAATGAATTTTTAATGAATTAAATCGAGTGTAAGATAACCACATTGAGCATATAAGAAGACTCGGTGTATTATAACCCTACATAAATGGGTAGGTTTAACTTTGTTAATGGTTTATTTACCCAAGTCAAATTGGAAAAAACTCCTGATGATTGAAAGTTAGTCAAATACGGACTGAATAATAACTTTCACATCTTAAGCTAGATTGCCTAGATGTATCTAATTAACAAACATGTTATGGTGATTTGTGTTAGTTGATTGATTAAACGAGTTTTTTCAAGTTAACAATTTTACCCAATTAAATTAAAATCATGTCAATTTTACTAAATACACTAAAGTTATTGAAATATGAGTTTAAATGATCAACCTATTACATAGATTAAACAAATTGAAATATGAGTTGAAATTATCAATTTTTATTGACGGAAAAAACTATCAAATTTTACTCCTACAAATATGCAACTACTTTATTCATAATTTACATTTTTTTTCTTTGAAGAAACTCCAAAGGGCGAGCTTAATGACATAGCTTAGCCAAGTTATGTAATACTTATTTTGATTTTAGAGTTTGGTTGGAGGAATATCCTCATGATGTATCTGAACTAGTTTTGGCTGATTTAAGCCAAGTTGATGTTTAATAATATTGCCTGTGCTTCCCGTAAAAAAAAAAAGGGCGTGCTTAATTAATCAAACCCTGCATAATTTACAATTAATTAATCAATATAAAAATAAATTAAAATCACTTTATACAAAAAAATATGCAACTCTAAAATCTATAATGTATTATAATGTACCTAATCCTAATAATATTTTCTTTAGAAAAGATATTACGGAGTATAAAGTATGAAGCACACAATATTTTTAACTCTGAATTTTATTAAATTTGCAATCAATGACAAATTAGATTAAGTAAATTTTGTTTTGTATAGATATATATATATATATCTTTATTGAGATCTTTATAGACATCTTTATTGGTGTCTTATGGTTTCAAACCTCCTTATGTCACCCCCAAGCATACAATTTATTTTTGAAAAATGGTAAAAAATTGACACGAAATCGTATATTATAACCTTCAATTTTGGACATTTTTTTAAACCAAGAATAAAAATTTCCGAAATGCTTACCATGGATCTTAATACACCCCGGGAGTTCATTTGGGTGGGTACAACCATCCAATATGCCTTTAAATCGTTAATTTAAATTACCCGTTTACAACTTGTACCAATTTCATAAACTCAAGTATACGACGGACATTTATAACAACATATCATGGGCAATAATGGTTCCAAACTTCATTATATGACCCCACGATATATCCCCTACTATCTCAAGAATTTTCAACACCGGGTACCGAAACCTCCAAAATTCTTCAAAAAACGTGGATAATAGACTTCAATTTGGCAATTTTTAACTTTTTTTGGCCTGGAAATAAAAATTTCCGAGATTTTTACCATGGATCCTTCCTTCGTGAGTCCAATTGGATGGGTAGAACCATCCAATTATCCTTTAAACGTTCAATTTATCCGTTTACAACTTGCATCGATTTAATAAACTCAAGTCTATCAGGACATTTATGACAACATATAAAGATCATATAGGGTTTCAAACTTCATTATATGACCCCACGATATATCCCATACTATCTCAAGAATTTTCGACATCGGGTACCGAAACCTAAAAAAATCTTCAAAAAGCGTGGATAATCGGCTTCAATTTTGGCAATTTTTGACTTTTTTTGGCCAGTAAATAAAAATGGCCGAGATGTTTACCATAGATCCTAATACCCTCCGGAAGTCCAATTGGGTGGGTGGAACCATCCAATTATCCTTTAAACGTTCAATTTATCCGTTTACAACTTGCATCGATTTAATAAACTCAAGTCTATCAGGACATTTATGATAACATATAATGATCATATAGGGTTTAAAACGCCATTATATGACCCCACGATACATCCCCTACTATCTCAAGACTTTTCGACAACGGGTACTTAAACCTCCAAAATTCTTCAAAAAGCGTGGATAATAGGCTTCAATTTGACAATTTTTGACATCTTTTCGCCCGAAAATAATAGTTGCCAAGATGTTAACCATGGATCCTAATACCCTCAGGGAATCCACTTGGGTGAGTGGAACCATCCAATTATCCTTTAAACGTTCAATTTATCCGTTTACAACTTGCATCAATTTAATAAACTCAAGTCTGTCAGGACATTTATGACAACATATAATGATGATATAGAGTTTCAAACGGCATTATATGTCCACGAGATGTATCCCCTACTATCTCAAGACTTTTCGACACCGGGTACCGAAACCTTTAAAATTCTTCAAAAAGCGTGGATTATAGGCTTCAATTTTGGCAATTTTTGACTTTTTTTGGCCTGAACATAAAAATTGCCGAGATGTTTATTATGGATCCTAGTATCCTCCGGGACTCCAATTGGGTTGGTGGAACCATTCAATTTTCTTTTAAACGTTCAATTTATCCTTTACTTGCCTATGACATATTGACATGTGCCCTTGGGGCCGAAGCCCCTATTGTAGGATGACGATCAAGGAATTTGGGAATTACCTAGTTTCATTACACAATATAATATATAAAGGCTATTTCAAAATATATATATATATATATATATATATATATATATATATATATATATATATATATATATATATATATTTATATAAAGGCGAAATCAAGGAGGACATTTGACAATGTTACATTAAAAAATTTCCCTCTAATAGTACTTGTTTTTTTACAAGATTATTGTTATTAGAAAAAAGAATTTTATCTAAATGGTAACATTTGTTTTTGTATTTTATATCATTTTATATAAAATCTAAACTAAATTTCTAAAAAATATTGAGTCATTATGATTATTTAGCTATTTTTATAATATACTTCATACGGTGTGATAATTAGTCTATTTAGGCCTATTTCGATTTACTGAAAATAACTGAATTAAACTGATTGGGGCTGAACTGAACTAAATTGAATTGAATAGAACTAAAATGAATTGTTTACGAGAGAAGGAAATTAGGAACTGGGTTGAATTGAACTGAGCTAAAATTAAGGTGAACAAAACAAACCATAAATCTTTATTTTTTTTAAACCATCTCTATAGTTTTGTTGTCATTAAATTTATTGAACAACCGTGTATTTATTGGACGGGTTTAACCTAGCTTGTAATACACGGATACACTGAAAAACAACATACCTAGTGAGTACAGTACTCCAGGACCGTAACAAATACTTTGCTCTAACAGTCTAACCTTGTACTTTAACCAGGTTAAAAATATGTAGTAAGATAATTAGTTCAACTTTCGGCTTCCACTAGATAGTAGCATGGTTCTTTCGAATCTATAGACTTTGCAGTACTTGGTGATTAGTTTATAAGTATAACCCATGGAAGAAGCAACCATTAAATTCCTTTGTGCATGTGGGCAGACAAAATGGATATGGAAAATTCGAGACATCATATTTCACTTTATATATCTAGGTATAGAAAATACAAATAATTTTCGAGAAAACAAATAGAAGCGTTAAATATTTTATGTAATCACTCACGATATACATTCTGCCTTTAGCCTTATTAACAAAAACTAATTATTTTTTTTGAACTTACATTGTCGTTAATTAAAACAAATACGAGTAAAATTTATATCAATGTAAATTTTCTAAATATAAACAGGTTATAATAATTGTTCTTCAAAGACTCAAAGATTTGAAGGTCATCTTTCTCAAAAAGTATTAATTGAACCGAAAAAAGACAAATAATGAGATTTCAGCTCTAATCAATTCATTCCAATTCAGTTCTAATCAATTCATTCCAATTCCTAATTTCTTCTTTCATAAAAATTTAGTTCAGCTTAAGAACAGGTCCTTAAATGAAAGTTGTGATTATTTTACTAATCCTATTAAAGTTGGGAGTATACTTCCTTTTCTTCTCTAATCTTTAGATGACTAAGAAATGAAATAGTGAGCACCTTGTCTTGGAAGCAATGGATAAATTCCCATTTTCTCAAAATGGATTTTTTTTTTGCAATTTCAAATAATGATCATCAAAGAATAAGGCACCAATATTATACTAGAAAAGAAAAAAGATGGAGAGATAAAGGAAGAAAAGTGGATTTAAAAATACATCGAAGTGATACAAAGATATTCAATTCTGGAAGATTGTCTCAAGTTATTTCACCCATAAATATGAAAATTTTGTGAGTGGAGTGAAGCAGAACTCTATGTAAAGTTTTCCCAATCACTACCTCAACTTAGTGTTGAACGTACCAAATTCCAAAGCTAAGCTATGAAAAACCTTTGTCTTTCTTCTTGTTTCATTTATCTGTTAGTTTTAATCTCTATTACAGGTATATTTTGTTGTAAATATTGCCTCTTGTTCTTTCATTAACATGTTTGTTTTTTACAGTACAAAAAAAGACTGACTGTTTTTTCGATTACAGATGCAGCTGTTCAGTTGATAATAGTGAACAACTGTAATGAAGAGTTGTGGCCAGGGATCTTAGGAAACCCGGGTCAGCAAAATCCTAAAGATGGTGGGTTCAAGCTCAACAGCGGCGAGGAAGTTGTTCTTGACCTGCCTGACAAATGGGCAGGAAGGTTATGGGGCAGGCAAGGTTGCATTTTTGATGCAGAAGGAAAAGGGCAGTGTGAGACTGGTGACTGTGCTAGTCAAATTCACTGCCGCGGAGCAAGTGGAGTCCCCCCAGCTACGGTGGTTGAAATGACATTCGGTTCATCAGTGTCTCCCCTACATTACTACGATGTCAGCCTCGTTGATGGATTCAACTTGCCGGTCTCTATGAAACCAGTAGGGGGAGGGGTTGGATGTGGTGTTGCTAAATGCGATGCTGATCTGAATGTCTGTTGTCCATCAGCATTGGAAGTTAAAAAGGGTAAAAAAGTGGTAGGCTGTAAGAGTGCTTGCTTAGCTATGCAATCTGCTAAGTACTGCTGTACAGGCGAGTTTTCAGATCCTAAAACTTGCAAGCCTACCGTCTTTGCTAATCTATTCAAGGCCATTTGTCCAAAGGCATACACCTACGCTTTCGACGATTCATCAAGTCTTAACAGATGCAGAGCACCAAGATATGTTGTCACATTTTGTCCTCCAAAGTAGTTCATTAACCACAAAGATCAAACTTCTCTTAAGCAAGAATTAGTAGTCACTTAGATTATCTTTTTACTTTGTAAGTCTGTAATCTTAAGAAGCTTTAGCTGTAAGAATGTCCATCAACTCGTTAGATTAAGTCCGTCTAAAGTCAGGGTAATGAGAATCGAACACAATCATTTTAGTAAAATTACTTTTGCAAACTTTTGCCGACCCCAAATCATTTTAAGACTACGGCTTGTTGTTTGTTGGTTGTTGTATACTTTTGCAAACTTTTGAAATTAATTTAATTTAGATTTTCTGGGAAAATAAATGTGAGAAGGAATTAGTAGACAAGGAGCAATGATAAGCAACCTCATCTGTGGATCCATCTCTACGGTTGTCTGGCCGCTGCTGAAATTTATTGATTTGATTTTCATCAAAAACAATAAAATTCAGCTTTTTATTTATGCACCTTAAATCAAAGGAACCCATTATTGAATTTAATTAGTGGGTACCTATATTTATACAAAGGTGCAAAATTTAAATTAATTAATCATATTACCAAGAACACAAATTTCCAGATTTCAAAGCAATATTCCAGAAACAAATGATAAAATGTCAGATAAAAAATGTAATCCAACCATGTGCCCAATTTGATCATCGGAAAGAAGAACAAATGGGCGAGTAAATTGGAAGTTGAAATTGATAAAAACTCCATTAATTTCGCAAACGAAGAAATTGCCTCAAAACATGGAAAATGGTTATGGGACAGAGTGCGTTTGCTGATCAAAAAACAAAATGAAGAACCCTAAAATTTACAGATTAGATTGATGAAATGTTCAGTATATAAGGGCCCGAAAGATCAGAGGGAATCAAATTCAGGCGAGTGATACTGATAAATTAGGGTTTTGCAAGGCTCCGATTCAGGAAAAATTGGTTGGATTGTAAAATAATTTCGAAATCCAAACAAGAAGCTACCTTGCTTTTGATTCTGTAACTATTAAGAAATTGAGTTTGTAACCAAAATTGAAAAATAAAAATAAAAAAAATAAAAAAATAAATTTGAAACTTTTTTAGGATTAGAGAGAAAATGGGGGAAGAAGATGACTGCTGAAGGTTGATGCTGAGCACAAATGATTAGGTTAGTGAACAAGCTCAGCTTTTATAATCAGAGATTTTTTGCGAAGTTAAGAGATGTCCAACCCTAATTTTAGGTTGAGGTTCAAAAGCCAGGCCCAAATAATAGCCCAAAAAATGTTGGTGCACTTGGGTGCACATATTTTAAGTACGGAGTACTACTCCTTTATTTTAGCTTTAACTCTAATGATGAAATAAGGCTTACCTCAACTTCCAAAATTAAAGTACTCGTACTTCTTAATTCGAGTTGAGTAAGAAAGGTTTTGTCTTAGGAAAATTCAAAGTTTTTTGTTACTAACATATTTGAATTAACTTAGGTTTTTATAGAGGTAATGGCCTTCGGGCTTTCCTGTAACATACTTAGGTTTTTATAGAGGTAATTAAAAGATGGGTGGAACTCGTCACTATGTAGCAAAGTCTACCCTTTTTTGCATGATTAATTCGTGAATTGTACATCAATGAGGAAAATGAAAAATGCTTATGAGCATTTCAGAATCTGCTCATAAGATGAGCCAATTTTATAATGAATAGTAATCTCATGGGCTCCAGCATTCATCCAAAATTAATGAGCAAAAATGGTAGAAATGTTCCTACATCAATGAGCAAAATAAAATATGCTCATGAGCAATTTAATTATTTTTTTGTCACTAGAGGGATAAAATTTCCACACCAAAAATGCTCATGAGCAAATTGGTTGGGAAGAGAGAGAAAGTGGCTAGAGAGAGAATGAGCAAAATTTTTTTTTGCTCAGCTCTTATGCAAAGTTTGTTGTCTAAAACAATTTTTTTTTTTTGGCAAATCCTATCCAACATGAGCCGAAAAAAAACAAGTTTCCAAAAAAACATCATTAAATGGTAATAGGGATAGAGCCTTGGATTGTCCTAGGGGCATTTTCAAAGAGACGAGGTAAGACTTAACAAAATTATTATAGGACATGATTACAAGGGGAGCAAAGCCGCAAAATCATGAGACAAAATTGGTTATTTAGTGCTCTGACCACGAAGCACCTTGACACATAACCTTGTTAGCTCCAAATATGTTTCCCATAGGTTATTTAAAGTCTAATAATACACAAAATTGGATCATTTGGATAAATTATATGGCTATTGCGAGGCTGTTTTAAAGTTGGTCTGCTACCATATTAGATCTACCACTAGGTCTGTTAACGCAATGCAATTTCGAAAAACTTTTGTAGTTGGTCTAAGTCTTGTGAAATGACACCTAAAATATGGGATCAAATCTCATCAAATGATTAAAAGATTCATTTAGTACCTTCACTAAAAGGAGAAAAAAAATGGAGGTAAAAAGTTGAAAAACACAAGCAAGTTGGAATCAAATCTTACATGAAACTCATGGTTATTTACAACACTTTTACACATATAGCTTATTACAATATGCTAGTCTAAACAATTAATGCAAACAACTACTGGCTAAAAGCTTATTGCCAAACAAGGCCATAGTCTATAAGTCACATAAGTTGGATTCAAACTCGTCATTATCTCCTGGTTGAAGACTTTGTACCAAAATAACTGTATTGCTATTTTCTCTTGTTTGAAAACGTCCTAAATTAGTATACACCTTGGACTAGGACGACTTTCTCTGAAAAATCTAACTAATCTAAACAAATACTGTCTGGTTATTGTGATACATCTATAACAAAGACTATGGTTCTCTCTGTCTCTAAAAGAGAAAATGGGATGACCTTCGAAAGACAAAGTGATTTATTTTTGTAACTGTATAATGTCTCATCTAGTAACTCAACAATTAAAAGGGAAGATGGGAAACACAAAGCCAAGATCATTTACAGTTTTAGGACAAAAAAAAAGGTGGAACTTGACTGGTAGCATATGTGATCCAACATGGCAATGACAGCAACCATTGCAAGAATAAATCATTATGCAATTGACAATCAAAAGAGAATACTCAGGTTGTTTAGTTGACATCAAATAGCATGCGATATACAAACTTCCTAAACGATAAATCATGCATGCTAAATATTCTCTTCAGAAGTCAGAACAGATTTACTAGATGGAAACGCTAAAACCTTGTATCTCCTATTAGATGGCATGTTTTGAATGAGAACAAAGGATATGGGAAAGTCAATGAAGCTGTGACTGCTGGCACCCTAATTCAATCATCAGAAATAGCAGCTAATGAGGAGATTTTCAATAGCATATTTGTTTAAATTGTCCATTCATGTCACAGAACTTCAGACTTCAATAGCACTGTAGGGAAATAAAAGTTTAAAAGGTTTTGAGGGCTGTGGAAGGATAATCTTCAATAGTCTTATTTCAGAAGCTGCAATAGAAGAGCCTATAATCAATTCAATCAACTTAAATTGCAGCTAATGAGGAAGATTTTCAATAGCATGTTCGTCTTAGTTGCCCATTCATGTCACAGAAATTCAGACTCCAGTAGCTCAGTAGGGAAATATAAGCCTAAAAGGTTTTGAGGGCTGTAGCAGGACAAACTTCAATACTTTTATTTCAAAAGCTGCAATAAAAGAGCCTAAAACCATCCATTCCTAACCTCTCTCAATTTCATGGTTTCAACCAAACAAGCTGTAAAAACAATCAGGGCAGTCTATACCCTGCTGAGGCTTCCTGAGCATCTTAAGTTCATGTGTCTTTCACTCTTCTATGACTAAACAGTCTCCTCCCCTTTAAAGGATGGTCAAGGACAAATGCAGAAAGAAAGTGGTGGAATAAACACATTCAAATTACGTAAAGGCACAAACAACTGCTCAGTACATCATATGCACAACAGCACAAGACCGAAGTACTTGAAATAGATTAGATAAGACTTCTAAGTTTCAAGGATATTCTTAATGCCGTGCCACCTCAGTAACTCAAGCTAATTTGGAACTTCCAACAACTTTCCTTAATTGTAAGCCAAAATAATTTAGCTTGTATTGGTCCTGCAGTGTTTTTCGGGCAACAGGGTCCTAATCCTAAGCAGAAAGCACAGGGGTGAGGTAAGCACCTAATTGAAGCAAGGCCAGTTCTTAAAATAAAATATTTTGTTCATAAAATGAGGTTGTATCCTTGCACACAGTAGGGATCTTGCGAACTTAGTGCAGTTATTGTGCCTTAGTGCACCTCATTAAAAATGCATTGGCATGCATTTCTAAGCAGCACCTTGGGCTTCTGAAAGGAATTGGGGAACACATCTTAGGCTTCAAGTACAAGTGCTTTGCTCAGCGAGTCACTTCGAAAAGTGACAAGGCTAGCACAGGCAGCTCAAATTTCTGCCCAACAATAGCCACACATAGGTCAAGGACTCAAAAAGACCCATTAAATTTTCCCTTGCATAGATTAAGATGACTGACACAGATTACTCATCAAAAGCCAGACAAAATTCCAACAAACAATTTCTAGAAAAACAACCTTGTTATGACATCAAAAAAGGGCCAACTGATAATAATGTCATAACTTCTATAAAAGTGTAATCAAACTAGATCATTGTGCGTTCGTATTTCCTGGCAAGGAGCAAAACATCCCACAGCATAATTATACTACTCAAACAAAAATTTACTGTAGCCTCTAATTCCTCAAGATATGAGCACTAATTTCTTCCAATATTTGAATAAATACATCAAGTTCCCTGGTCTAGCAAAAAGTATAGGCTATTCAAGATCATCTTCAAGATAATACTTCAGATTGACCACAAATGTACCTCTAGTCCTCTGCAAGCTTATGAAGCAAACAACATTTTTCCACGATAATTTCACTTAATGATGACCCACATTGGATTCTCCACTGAAGAGTAAACAGACTAAGAGGAAAGGATCAATCTATGTTAACACTTAAAAACACAATGCCAAACTTCTTCAGAACATAAAGGGTATTTGTAATGAACTGATCTTCTGATTGTATATATTATATGAATACTAAAGATTAAAAAAGGTGAAAGCTTTATATTTTGATTGATAATGGCTGAAAGGTTACAAAAGGATAGGTTAATAGCTTTAGGCTATCACTTTCATAATGGCTTTAGGCCATGACTCTCTAAGGGTTCCCTTCAATACAAATATCTGCCCACCTTTTCCTTTCCCCTCTCCCTCTATTTATACTAAGCTAAAGACTATTAACCTAATGAGACTAAACTTCCCAAAGCGCCTCACCTAAAGCTAGTCTATTACAATATTACTTACTCTGTGTTACAGCTTTTCCTTCCATTAAGATGTAGGCACTTATATCATCTTAGATTTTCATTATTTATTTATGGGCACCATGGACCATGGTAACTAAATTTCATTGCTCAAAACCACTTTTCACATGATCCTTTTCCCAATTCAGTAAGATGTAGTTTCTCATTTCTACTAAAGCTATTACAGTTAATAACATCCAGTACAGAAAACTTCAAATGCCAGCAGTCCAAATCACATTTCTAAGAGACCCAAAATTTCTTCAAGAAGCCTAAATCAACACAACCTCTACCCCCAATAAACCCACAAAACTCCCGAAGTATTTTTACTAAAGCTATTACAGTAAATAACATCCAGTACAGAAAACTTCAAATGCCAGCAGTTCAAATCACATTTCTAAGAGACCCAAAACTTCTTCAAGAAGCCTAAATCAACACAATCTCTACCCCCAACAAACCCACAAAACTCCCAAAGTGCATATTGGTATGAACTTAGAATAGAAAATGGAATGGAAACAAATAAGAAAGGGTTATGTTAACTGTTTCCATTATTAATCGTTTGGTATAGCTATTAAAAAGATCCCTTAAATCAAATTGGGGATTTAGGAGGGTAACACCTATTGTTACCATAGAGTTGGAAAGGCTAATAATGTAAAATAGGTAGTAATGTTTATCCTTAATAAAATTGAGTGTATCACCACACATCTCATAGTCTCATACCAAGCTATAGGTAATGGAAATAAGCTAATCGAGTCCATCCTCAAAACTTGATAAAATTATACAAAACATGACAGCATTACGAAATTCAGTCCTCTTCACTTCAAACAATTAAGTTCACAAATTTTTTGCCAGTTGCATACAATCTCCATTCAAAACAGCCCTTATACGGGCTCCGACTATGAACCCAATTCCTACAACCAATCTACTCAGCAATTCACCATAATTATAGCATAAGTTCTAAGCAATAGCAATTCCAGCAAACATAATATAAAACAAAATATTGCAAATAAATAAATTCCAAAGCTCAATAATTCAGCAAATATTAATCGGAACTTGCAAAAAAAATTCCACATTGTCAACAACAATTCCCCATCGTCGTCATCATAGCAACAACAAGAAACCAGAATAACGCATCCCAATTGCATCAAATCCTTATTATCAAAATCAAGTAACAACAAAAGGAAACCTTAAAATGCTTACATTTCCAACCCCACAAACCCTAATAAAATTGGGGAAAATTAAGGAGTATCCCAAGGCTTAGGCTCAGGAAGAGCAACAACCATACCTTGATGCTCCTGCGAGAGAACAACCTGACAACCCAACCTAGCATGCTTGTTAAGAACACGGTTTCGCTGATTCCTTTTGAGGACATACTGTTCATCATACGAAGCAGCAGGAATCTTCTGGAGCCATTCTTGAGCAATATGAACCTCGCATTCAGCAGAACAAGCTTCGATATCTTCAAGACGATGAGAAGCAGGGTCGATTAGATCGTGATTAGTTAGGGCTTTGAGTAGGGTTTGGCCGGTGAGACCGATGATTTCGCGCTTGTGGCCGTCTAAATCGATTGCGAAGAGCTTGACGATTCGATCGGAGACTTTCTTTGTGCCGCCGGTGGATGCGGCGGCGGAGGTGGTGGTGGTGGTGCGGGAAAGGAGGGATTTGGAGAGGAGAGAGAAAGTGGAGGAAGTGGCGGTGGTGCGGTGAAGGTGGGTGGAGAGACGCTGGAGACTTGCGATCGCCATTGTGTTGTGTTGGGGTTTGTCAGGTGAGACTCAAAATGAGCACAAAATCACAAATTAATTGCCTTGAGTGAGAAAAGTGAACATACAAGTTTCTTTGGCTCGATTACATTCCACTTATCTCAAAGGGGCAAATTCGTCATTTAAGTTTATAATTGCCACTCATTTTTACAGGCAAATACAAGTCTATCTGCTAGATAAACGATTTTTTTTTAATTTGGTGGCATTTCTGTAAATATATTGAAAAGTGTGGTCATTTATTCAATACTTTTGGTCAGCGTTTCAATTACTGTTTGCAACTCACATTTATTGTTTGGTGAGGAAATTACACATGTACCCCTCAACTAGTACATGAAAAAACGCATTGACTGGCACAACTCCTTTTTTTTTACACAAATGATAAAAACTAATTTTTATGCATAATAATAAAATTTTTAAAATCATACCACGCACCGAGTCTAATCTAGTTTATTTCCATTGTTAGGATTATCATGTTAGTGTATTAGTTTTATAGATACATATATACACAGTTTTACTAATTCATACTTTGTAGTTTGTGTTTGATTTTTCTTTGCATCAACCTACGATGACCCATTTTAGGGCGAGTAGTGAGACTGAATAACTTAAAGCAATGAATACTAAAAGCATGACGATATCGACGGTTATCTGTTATCGCTTTATTAAACTTCTACTCTATTTAAGTTATTTATTTATTGTTTATTAGTTGTAAGACACTATGTACTTTGAAAAACGTTAGTCGTTATTACGATAGCGGTAATATCTTAATTATTACCTAACTCTATATTTTATAAGGGCAAAAAGTGCATGTTAAAATGAGGAAATTTAATTTCAAAGGTATTACAAAGTCAATGTATTGTATTTACTACTTTTGTTTCATATTTTTTGCATTATTTATTTGTGAGATATAAAATATTTTAAAGCTGCAAAAAATATAAAACAAATATGTAACCCAAAATAAAAGCTATATATACATATATACGAAGTATCTTACAAACCCCATAACTTGAGATAACAAGGTAGCATTTTATGAGAGCCCTCCTAATAGAAACCTTCAATACACAATAAATACCACTATACCAGGCAGACATGCAGCGTTGAATGGAACTTAACTACTAGTTGATCAGCAGCATCGACCTTCAACAGAAAAAGGCTTACAATCAAGTTGCAATGGATTATCCAACACCATGTCGGTGACCATTTCAGCTGTTCCTAAAGCCTGACAATAAAAAATCATTCAAAAGAGTTACATTTCTATCAGTGTATTAAGGCGAGATCAAAGGAGAATATTACCATGCTAAGTCCTCCTCCTTCATGTCCACTTGCAAGGAAAAGATTGGGAATACCAGGTGCCGGGCCAATAACCGGCTTGCCATCAGGCACTGGAGAAGGAACAAGCATATCAGTACAATAATTTGACATAAAAGAATTATTTACAATCTCAGATGGGATTACTTCATCTTGGTATCCTTAAAGATGACTTACTGTAAGGGCGTAATCCAATTCTGACATTCATTTGTTCACTCAAGTTTTTGACTGAGAATTCTTTCAAAGCGGGAAAAAATTGTTGAGCACGTTCCCATATGCGATCAACAATGAATGTATCCAATTCAGTGTTAAATCCAGCAAATTGTCGGCTGCTTCCTGAAGTCATAGGGCAATAGAAGGATGAAATATAAAAACATGCCACATTATTGTGAAGATTATGAAAAGAAAAAAGTGTAACATGAGAAGGCAGTGTAAAATAAACCCAAGAACAAAAAAATTACCAATAAGAAGATTCCCACATGCATCTCTTGTTACAGTCATTGAAACAGACAAGGCTTCGTTACGATCAAGATCAACCCCCTCTGATTCAGATATGACGGATTTTTGATGATCAACATAACCAGCTTCCATTAGACCATGCCTAATATCAAGGTTATCAAAGTTCTCTAGGTTCAAAAGAAAACCCTGTGAACGAATTCTAGAAAAAATAAATAAAGGAAGCATATCTTGCATGGAAAGTAATTTCAACATTTATGAACAAGATAAACTTTAGGGACATGTTATGTACTATCATAACTGGACAGGAGGCCAGAACAAAAAGAGGAATTTGATTGAGAGTTCTAGAAGCAGAACAGCTGATAGATAGGCTAAGTTTTTGACTTGCTTGTTTCACTCTCCCAACGGGTAAACAAAACGAAGAAAACCTTCCAATTTCTGGATTACTTTCTCTCTCCTCATTTTCCCTTTGGTCATAGCAATTATCTTTCATTTTACTGATTTACAAGTAACTCTAGCTTCGCTCTTCATATAGCTGGTTCATTGCAGAATAGGCCAGTACCCACTGAGAAGCAACATGCCAACAATAGGTTTCTAAGCCAATTTGTTACACATCGGATAAACACATGCAAGATTCCAAATATATGCGTAGTAAAACTAATTGGCATCAACACTTAAGTTACATTCATGCTCCAGAGATATCGGTAAGTATTAGCTGCTAGCCTGTTACTAATCTTGTTTCTAATTATCAACAATTCTCACCTTCCGAGGCTTAATGGGAACATGTAATACGATGTGTGAATCCTGAAGCAGCTTGTCCATCAAAGATCCAGTCCAACAACCAGCTGCTATTATAGTTGCTTTTCGGCCATATAATGTGTTCTTTTGAGTTTTGATACCGTCAATTTTTCCTTTTCCATTTGATCTGAATGTATATAGAATATAAGATCATTACATCTCAAATTTCATTTTCATACCACAATATGCTGTTCCTAGTTCTGGAAAGAAAGAAGAAACACTGGAAATTTGGAAAAGACCTTATGAAATGTACAGCTGGATCACGATAGAACTCTGCATATCTGCCTAGGGTCTTAAAGAGCCTGTTACCCTGATAATGAAGGAATGGACCATAACCAATTAAGTCAAGCTATACATTGGTGATAGGTTGTAGAAAAGAAGTAACAACCACCAACAAAATCCTCATCAGGATCTAAGATGACTGCACAAACCTTTTCTATAAATGCCATTGTACGATAAGCATCCAATTGGCAATCATCAGGCAGAAAGGCAGCACCACTTTGCTGGTTAATTCCGAGTTCGGGTTCCTTATTAGCTAGATCATCGTGCGACAAGTACTCTGCCCTTACCCCAGCCTTAGATAGCTCTTGTACACGCCTCTTCAATTGATTTAACTCTGCTTCTGCTCTACCAATTAACAAGCTTCCTAACATAAAAAAGACACCAGCACCATTCATCCAAAGTATAACACAAATAGGCAATACCAATAATCAATATATCAAGTGATGTCACGGCCTTTTTATGCAATATCTAGATTATTAGACACTTAAGTGGAGTCCATGACTTAAAAGGGAGATACACCCACACTTAAAGTTTACACCTGCCCCTTTTTGGCAAGGTATGAGAGATCAGGCATCATACAGATTTACTTCTGAAACTAACAGAGACCTAAAACCATGACAACATAATGAGGGCATATATAAGAAGTTAGCTGCTGCCTAGGGTAGTGATGATTCAGATAAACACCATGCTCAATAAAAATGTCAGTTTACGTACCAATTGAAGCTCAGGAATAATAAAGCTTCAGACTGCCAACGCCATCACCCCCACCTCTTTTCCTCCCCAACACACACACACACAAACAACCCCATAGACAACACAAGCTGGTAAATTTTAATTTGGGACTGTTTAATAATACGGCTTACAAGACTACTTAATGGTTATACAAATGCATATTAGCAATGTTGGCAAGATATTAGGTAATCTGAGTAAGATATTAAGTGGTAGCATCATTTTATGTATTGAATATTCTTATAAGAAATAAGATTGCACATTGCCCATGCACATTAAAATTAAAAGATCTTCAAAAAAATACAACTATACTACAGTAAAAATGGGTAATTAGCATACAAATGTTTAATACCTGTTTTTTTCCAGCCCAATGTTTCCAAGGGATCAAAGCCTTGATCTTGAACATTATCTGCCAACAACTCCCACAATTTTCGGCTTCTCATAGCAAGATCCCATACTTCAGTACCAGGAGTTTTGTGCACCATCCATAAGTAGCCCTGACCTGTAGCAAGTCAATTATCAAGCTACAACGATGAATCTGTGATATCATTCATTCAATCCTAAATTCTAGGCATGTCTATCAATATTAAAATTTTGACAAAAGGATATGACAAGATAAAGGAGCTTCAAAAGAGCTTGGAACTTTGGAAGAATCCTCTACAAGACTAAAGTGAAGTAAACTCAAAAAGTCAAAATAGAAATTCCAAAAGGCCTTATGGGAACGAAAAGAACAGTTATAATGGTCTGTAGCACTAGTTATTAGAATATTAGGTAATAATTCTATAATAGTGCAGGAGTAGAAGTAATTTGTACAAAGTCCTAGATGCTATCTAATTCAATCTGCTTGACTATTCGAGTTCAGGCTCAAATTTTCAAATGTTGGATTTTTGGATTAGATTCTAACTCAAATGTTTGATCAAGTTTTGGTAATGCACAGCTCTCGGAGTCAGGGCACACGTCATGTACTTATATATTATAATCATTCTTTCCATGGCGAGGCAACTAAAAGGCCTAAGCATGCAAACTCTTGATTATATATTTATATATATAATTCAATCATTACGCATATCTCTATTTTAATATTTAGTAAGTTCACTATTATTTTAGGTTCATATTTTGGTTGGATCCATCATGGTCCAAACCTCGCTTCGCCTCTACTCTCCTTGTCCCTAAAAGTATGCACCATTGTTTCACTCTCATAAACTAAAACATAATCCCAATAATTTACTTTATCATCAGCTACACTCAAACATTAAAAAGCGCGTAAATTATACTTTGCCCATACAAATTAGGGAGAAATAGATAAGGTAATTGAACATAAATGTTAATTTTGACACAACATTCATAACAAAATCAACTAACAAGAAATTAAGCATTTAGCTGATCCAACATTGATAATACAACATTATATCACTAAAAATTCTGCAAAATCAAAGAAACAATAAATAAATAAAAGTAGTGGAGGGTAAAAATATACCGGCACCGGTAGCACCGGAGCAGGGAACGGCGGCGTCAACGACGGCGACAGAGAGATTAGAGCGAAGAAGGAGATCTCTGGCAATGCTCAGCCCAATTATTCCAGCTCCAACCACCACTACGTCGAAACTATGGGTTGCGCACACTGCGCAAATCCCTAAATTACCCCCATTTCTGCGTTTGATTTTTCTGGGCGACGGCAAAATTGAGAATAGCTGGTTTTTCTGATTCAATGAAGTGTGAATTTGGTGATTGAATTTCAGGCTAGGGTTAGGGTTTAGGTGAAGTGTTGAAATTCCCGCCATTTTCTGCTCGTTTATCTTGCTGCAAATTTTGAAGCTCCTCTTCTTTGCTAATGGAGTTGGTTAGTTGATGAAGGGCTTGCGATTGGTATAACTGAAAGAATCAACCAAAAGACTTTACATACTTGACTACATGTTAATGTACTATTAGTACTCGATACCAATTACCCCGTAATACATTTACGGAGTTAAGCTAACAATTAGGGACTAAATTAAAAAAAAGTAAAGTATTTCCAAATAAAATAAAAGTAGATTGTGAATATCAACTTTAAAACTCTTTAAAAAAAAAAAAAAATAGCAAACAACAACACAGAAATCCAAAACAAACACAACAACATTCGTCATCCAAAAGCAACAATATCCAACATCCAAACATTGAATCAAGCCTTCTTCGATCATACTGTATCCATCCAATAGTTCAATTTATTTTAAGTTTTTTTTTTTCTCTTCATCAATAAAGTTTTTCAGCGTATGAATTGGTGAAGTCATAGATGTAGTTAAAAATATTCAAATTGATTTTTTTTTTTTTCAAATATTTATTCTAAGGGCATTAATTTGATGTTGATAATTGAATTAAAAAGATGGTTTTCTTACCTTGCATTTTAAGAAATTAGAATAATGTTGTTGGTCCACTATACAATTGCATAAACACAATATTTCTAAATTGGGGTCCCCAAATTGAAGTTCAAAATTCTAAAATACAATTGGAACAAACACATAAATTCAACACTATAACAACATTAAGGAGTAGTTTCAGCATCATTATTCATGAATACCCATAAAATTCTACTACGTCTAAAAAATAAGCCCTAAACCTAGCAATAAATTATGAGAAAAAACCAAAATTGAAGTAAACTAGTTGTACAAGATTCATAGAGAACTTAGTTTTTTTTTTTTAACAAAAAAAAAAATAGATAACTTACTTGTGCTAAGATGCTTGAAAAACCGTTAATAATCTACACCAAAATCGCCTTCAAAGCTTCATTTTTTTTTTTTTTTTTGAAAGGGAGAACAAACAGGGTAGTCGAGGTTGATGATGAAGAGTGGAGTTGAAAAGACACCTTTTGAGTAATTTTTTTTGGAGTAAAAAACTAAAAACACCTAACACAATTTTATAAAAAATAAGTTCTCTTTTGTAAATAATTAAATCAGAACCTAAAATAATTAATGGGCCCCACCACTTAACCATAGTTAATTTTTTCAACTATAATTCTTTCTTAGGTCCCAAAGGGTGAAAGAAAAAAATTTAGGTCCCAAAAGGTGAAAAATAAAAAACTTTAGTCCCTAAACATTACCTTAACTCTACATTTACGTGATACTCCGTATTACATTAGTAGTAAATATATGAATACGAGTACTCAAAGACAAAGTTGATCGTAATAAAATTCATTAAATTATTTTATATTGAGTTAAAATCTCAAGATTCCTATATATTTTTATTTTTTATAAGAGCTAAGAGAGTTGGAAAGTCAATTAAGTTAATAGTTAAAAGAATTTTAAATATATATTTTTTTAACGCTAAATTATGTAGAGGGCCCCCACCCTATCATAGGAATGGGGTTATGACTTGTGAGGAATCGAACCCCCCATCACTTGGGTGGGTGGGGGGAAGATGGAGGGACTAATTATCCCTCTATCTCCTCATTCCTGAATGAAATTCGGATACTGTTATGAGCAAGGACTATATTATTCCAATATGTCACAATTCACAATTAGAATGTGGAATACAATTGATTATGTTCAGCAATCATAAATTTTTGTTCCCTAAAATCCATCAATCAAAATCAGTGCTAAATTTGACTGATTTGCCAAGCAGTTTTGACATTTAAATTTGCAAAAAAATTCAACTTGTATATTCCAATCATGTTACTTGAAATAATATCGGCAATCAAGTATTCAAGTAATACAAGTCCTCCATACATGCCAAACTAAACAATCTTTAATGTGATAGACCACTTGATATCTTCTGAACTGACCCCCCAACACTTGAACTCCCAAGAACAAATTACAATGTTCACTCAGAGAATAAAAAACAAATTAATTATATCAAAATCAAGTGATGTTGTACAAGGAGTATATCCTATCCCACACTAAAGGGGTGATGAAAGAATAAATGAATACCATACAGATTTCGCTGCAATAGCATCAGCATGGTTACTCAGCAAAGAAAGTGCAAGTTGCCGATCAACAGCTGGTCCTTTCACTTCTTCAGGTCCTGAAGTTTTGTAACAGGGTAAGTTCTGTTACCCATCGTCCGTTGAAATCATGATTTCGGGTTCAGAATAATAAGCGTTGGCTTCAGTTTTCTGTCTTGTCAGAGATAGAGACCAAGCACAACACTCACGGTTCAGCATTGGTTTCAGTTTTCTGCCTTGATGGAATAATTGAATATACATAAACCCAATGTTCATATAATTATACATCATCAAGGTTGAGGACAGTATTGTCATCCCACCAGATTTCATATGGGCTTCTTTCATAACTATCAACAGGAAATTGGTCAGCTGACATCATTACTTGGTCCAAAGAATCAGCCAGATTGGAGTCCCATTTGCTCATGTTACACACACATTTGTAAGTTTCGTAATTTGCTGATCTCAGACCCTCAGCAATCAGTTCCATCAAGCCTTCATGGCAAGCTCCTCCAGATCCCATAGCATTGATGAAAGCTCCTGCAAGTCCAGGTTGCCGAAAGGCAACCACTGCACAGCTCTTATCCACTAGTTTGACATCAAACTCTGCAGAGAAAGCTTCATGAGATCTACAAAGGAGTGTTTTCAGATCTCCAGCTGACAAACCGCTCCTGAATCCCCATAGGAAGACTATATCATCGCAGCTCAGTCTTATCATGCTACCTGATGAAATCCTGACATCCTCATCAAAGTTTTCAAGAGGACTACTACACGGGTCAAAAATGTTTGCAAAGTTTTTGAGCACTAAGCTATTGTCCTCATTAATATGTTGCTGACCACGTTTGACTATGGAGTAGAGTTTTGCAAAAAGATGACTTATCTGTAAAACATTATGACCGTGGATCTTCCCTTCATTCATCTCATCTGGTGTACCTGTGTATCCAGTTACAAGTACACTTAGCACTAGTCTCTTAACATTCCAGCAATCACAATAAAATATAGGTCTATGGTTTATGCATAATAATTGCAAACATATAATCATTGAAAAGCAACTTGCCTTTGAGAGGAATATCAATATCAATAGGTGCAAAAAACCGGTTTCTCAAGAAAGATGAAGCTGCAGGCATGTTGTTCATGGTTCCGCTAGGGTTGAATTCATTCATTAAATGGCCCATGTCGATGATATAGGGGAAATAAGAGCTCAAAGAGTGCTTGAACTCGTCAATACTTCGAGGTAGAGAGCTCAGAAACTTTGAGTGAATAAAAGCAAAATCTGTATAAGCAAAATGCTGAAGGTCAACCTTGCAGAAAATTGCATTTAGAAGATGGAAACACATTAAGCTGAAAAGTCCATAAAGCAGCACACACCATCAAGTGAGTTATGTGCAATAACAGGTTTTCCTGAAGCAGAAATCAGATCAATCACTTCTCGAAATCCACGAATATTCTTGACTTGCCCCTCCTCCAGATCTTGAAGTTCTTTCTACAAATATTAAGTACAGCTTTATTCTCCAAAAAAATCTTGACTCCAAAATGCAAGAAAAAGACAATCTTGGATTATTACCTCAAAAAGAATTTTGTCCTCTTTCGAACTTGTCAAAACCATCCGAAGCCCTTGAATGCCCCCACGTTTTGTAGGGATTAACAGAGGGACAATGTCATCAGAGTGTTCTTTCATAAGCTGCAGCATATTGCCGAATTGTAAAAGAGCTCTTAACATATAGCAATATCTATTCCATCATATTATTTAAAATCAGGCAACACACATCCAGTGAATTAGGAACATTGTATGCATAAAGATAAGAATATAAGAATATGCAACCTCAAGGACAAGTTGCACTTGGCGCTCACTGCAAACATCCACGTCAAGACAAGGTCTGGATCCATGTTCACCCAAAACAACTTTTCTCAGAGCTTTGACCAATGGATCTGCAGATTAAAGATGTTCCACTTTCAGCTGAGAAGGGATGAAAAGAATTTTTCTTATAAAGCAGAATCGTGCACACCTTCTTGGAGCCTTTTTGAGTCTTTGCAAGCACTTTTCCAGGTCTTAATTCGTGACCTGATTCTCTCAATATATACAGCATCAGCAACTGATGTGGCTGGCAAAGCTTGTACAGCATTTGCCCTCAGCATTGAATTTCCTGAATGTCGTTTCATACTTGATTCCTGAGCTCTGGATACATATGAGATCCCTATCCACGAATTAAACTGTAATGAATTAATGATGAAAATAATCTATTTGGAAAAATCATGAATCTGGGAAGGGGGTAGTCAATGAGATAATAGAATTATGAGTATGTAATTCTAGAAAAGTACTGCTAGAATATGCAAGTCATCAATACAAACACCCTTTTCTAAACATCTTATGAGATAATGAAACTGCAAAAGCTTTTTCAACAATGTTTTGATCCCTATAACACTAGCAACAATCCTGAACCCTCCATCCTTAGGCCAATACTAGTAATAGAAACACATGAGTATGAGTAAGGGTTTAACAGAGAAATGAAGTATTGCACTTGTGATTTCATTCTTCATCTAGAAATTACCATCATATATGCAGGAATTAAAATCGAAACCGAGTCGAGCCATGGATGTCAAATACGATGTTTGACATGCAAAAGTGTAAGAAGGCACCCCAAATTTCAGTTCATCCCTTGGAAATAGGTGGAAATTATATCTGCAAATCATGAAAAAATAGTAGAATCACGACTTAGGCATCTGTTTCCAAACCAATATAATTTTACATACATAATACAATCCATTCTCAACATGGTTATCCCCAACTCACAGTTTTAACAAGAAAATCCTTGGCCTAAACAAGGACTGCCACATGCTAGGTGATATGAGCTATTGCTCTGCAGCAGCTTATGAACTAAGGGCTGCTAACCTACACATGCAGAGTACATGAAATTATGTCTTAACAATAACTAATAACAACTTGCAAGGAAGGACACTGAGGACCATACTATCGCAACCTCTTTGTTTACGTAAAGATGCCACAGCTGATGATAACCTAAGGTTCCAACTAAGTAATTTGCACCCAAGGATGCCACATTGAAATCGTTTGAACCCATTAACCCAACCATACCAGAGACATGTTCAACTCTTCTCACCATACCAATATACCATACAAGTACTGTCTTTTCTCATTTTAGGTGGACAGGATGCAAATTAAGCTTGAAGACTTCAAATCTTCTGTTATATTATGGCAAATAATTATAAGTGGTCTTAAACAGACGATTAGTTCACATCTCAAGGGAAGCCATGCGCCTTGGAATAATTATCTTTCCGTGAATACAAAATGCAGGAGGTAAAGGTAGAGCATATACCTTTATTCCTAATAGAAGGTATTGAATTCTATAAATAAAAGGCGCAGCTAGAATCCTAGATCCCAGTGAGGCTGTGACCTGTGACCACAGTCTAGTAAACCTTTTTCATGCCAAAGCCCCTAACTAAAGCAGGCAAAGTCATATAGCGCATTTTTAAAATTTATGTACAACTCTTTAAACATTGATGGATGACAATTCCTTGAGTCCTCCTGTGTAGAGAAAAATGTCATCTTCAATTCTTTATGTTGCTGAAACAATTGGCTCTAAAGTACATATTGCATCTTACGCGTAATTGGTGTTTCTAATATTAATGATTAACGTTTCTACACATTTCGTTTTCCACGAATCGAAGTATTCCTCATGATCGATTGATCATCTTCCTTTATCCAAACATATATGCCAAATCCAATGACACCAAAATTAATCAAGCCACATAGTAGCACCAATAAGATTTTCTTCCTAAAACCCTGCCAAAACCCCCAAATCAATAAACCTAAATTAGTGAACCAGTATACAACATTCATACATCAAAACCAGATATTTACAAGATAAACCCAATAAACCCCATAATTATCTAGCTAAACCCATCACCACATTATAAATCCAATCAATCATCAGCAAAACCAATAAACCCCCTAAAAAATTGAAAATTGTAGCTAAAAGTATCACCAATCATTAAAACCCAGAAAACAATCAGCTAAAACCAACTACCCTCAGAAAAGTACACAACCAAAATTCACTTACTTACCATTCAAACATTTGCAAAATCATCAAACCCAGAAAAACTAAAGCAATGACAATCATAAAAACACCAGAAAAAAAAAAAAAAAAAAAAAAAAAAAAAAAAAAGAGGATTTAAACCAAATAAAACAAGAAATAAAGGGAAAAAAACATACGGGTAAGCAGTAAGCTTAGAAGCCCTAAGAGTAAAAGGGCAGATAGCAAACTGAAGAAGCTGAAAATTCTCTGAAGAACGCTTTGCCTTCAAATAGGCGATTTCGGGGGTGTCAAAAGGAAGAACCCTTTGCCATGGCGATGAATAAGAACCAGTTTTTTGCAGACTAACTGCAATAAAATCGGAATTTGAAATGTGGGGCTTCATTTCTTCTAATACTTGACTAAAATTGGACTTTTTAACTTGCTTAATTCTCCATTTTTTGCTGAGATTAGTGTTTTTAACAGTGTTTTCTATTTGAATTGAAGCTTGAGAACAGAACAAACGCTTCTTCATCATTGTAATATTTTTGAGCTGCTGCTGCTGCAATGGCTTCCCGGATTCTCTGGTTTTTTTGGGTTTCTAATGATTTGCAGTCGAATTGAAATGGGTCGGTCCATGTTGATGAGGATGACTTCAGGTTTATCTTATTATTCGTGGATTTTGCATTTGTATTGGGCCTATGGCCTGCCAAGATGTATTGTATCAACCCAAAACGAAAATACCATAGAGGAACAAGATTTTTTTTTTTTTCCTATTAAATGGGGAGGCAAAATTTTGGTTTTATACATTTTGGTTTTATACATTGTGAAATGCAATGGAAATTGAAGGAGATAAGTTATATATGTACAATAATCATCTATATTTGGTTTTTCGAGTGAAACAATGTGATCAAGACTTTGACCTTTATTCTTGGACTGAAGACTGATTCGGACCATATGAGAATACCTGCGCAAGAGAGTATGTTAAATGGCCTCGGGGTGTGTCCAAGGAAACTCATCTGTGCCTAAGTCAGTACGTCTGATTAAAAGCTCAAGGAGAGAATTCAGTGCATGCAAGTATAATATGAAGTATATACCCAACTCTTTAAAATGACCTTCAATAATAATGTGACATACAAAATACTTAGTGTTATTTAGTGATGAAGAGAGCACTTTTCTTGGTTATTAGATCAAATATAATAATTAATAATGCAATTAAACCTAGGTTAAGTAATTAAGTCTCATGTGAGTGATAATGTGATATGATGTATCATCATTTCACTTTGCTAAGTAGAGCAATTAAATTTGTTGAACATCATATTCAAACAGTCAGGCGGTCAAGCCCCTCAGCTTGGACCACTTATTACTCACTATTGCACTACCACTAATTCCACTTTAGATGATGCTATATAGATCTAGCTTTAATCTTGCATATAGTTCCACACAATTCTGAGTGATATGAACACCAAAGATGAGAATATAAGATCGAGGTCACCCTATATGTATGTGCTAATAGATAAATACTAAGGGTCTGTTCTCATACGATTATTTTCAGTTCACTTCAGCTCATAATTTCCTTCTCTTATAAAATATTTATTTTAGTTCAGTTCAACTCTAATAAGTTTAGTTCAGTTCAGTTCAGTTCAATTCAGCTGAGTTCAAACGATGAGAATAGGCCCTTATTATTAGTTAAGTTTTTGTAATTGTGCTAACCTACCTATTACATTACCCTAAAATGCGCTAAGTGAGTAAGATCTATAATAATATTCTTATGTATTAATTAATATTATGTACACATCAGTTTCTGTATTCTCTATAATAAAAAAAAGTACGTGGGATGCTATAAGCAAGATGTAAAATGAAATTTGTTATACTCTCCAACCCATATAATAGACATTAGACAATAATGAAGTGTTACCGTGTTGGATAGACAATAGGCATCGAGTGGTACTCAATACCTAAAACGAGTAAATAAACAAATATCCTAGATTCTAGTAGCAATAAATTGTAGCTAGACTTTGGATTTATGTATATGATGAATGGAAAGCCAATAATATAAATGAGGTAAGTTGGGATGTTGGCATGTTGCTTAAGCATACAGGCTCATCATCCCACAGGTCAGGGCGTGTAGCAGTGACCAACAAAATTGGTTGTTAGAATGTGCTTATTCACTTTAACCAATTTATTTCCCATTTGAGTATTCAATATCCTTTTTTTTATTGAATTTTTTTCGATCAATCTACTGAAAATTTACTACAACTTGCATTGGTGATACCCATATAATCAATTATCAGCCAAGAGTGGCCAATTCTTGTTCTTTTTGTCATAGAAGATAATATAATTTTCTGAGGTGTATGGGAGCTTATGTATCAAGTTATGTAAAATCATTTTTTTTTCTTTTTAATAAAAGGAAAGCATTCCATCACTTATTTTTTTTATCTTACCACATTGAGATTTTTTTGTATTTTGTTTCAATCAATCTATTAGTACATCCTTTACATAAAGAGACCACTACAAGAAAAATCTCTTTTCGTAGCGATTATTTCGTAGCGATTGTACATTCGCTACAATATGCAAGTATGTTTGTGATATAATTAAGGATATCGTATCATTTTTACAATCGTCATGGTTTTCCCATATAAATCAATACGGAAAACATAATAATACATATCCACACTATTTTTACACATTTATATAATTTTGAGAAATCGTATCATTTACAATCGCCACTAAATCCTAAAAATTGATACGAAAAGCCTTTTCAACACTAGATATATAAATATTGTTTGACAAAAATACATAAAATATGTCATAGCATATTGGTGAAACATTTAATACAAAAGTTTGAGGTTGCAAGTTCGAATCTTGTAAAGATAATACGCATGTTTTTTTTTTTAAGAAAATGAGTTTAACATTAATAGCGATTGTAATCGCAACAATAATCACCACAATTGGATGGAGTTTTTCGTATCGATTATTGAGGCCAACCCCAGCGATATTGAAAACCACTACTAAAGGCTAAGGCAATAGGGGATATTATATCGAATGACCATTCGTTGGGAAAACTTTTTATTGCAATTACAATCGATACTAAAGGTTAAAATAATCGCTACGAAAAGGTTATTTTCTTGTAGTGGACCTTTAGTGATTTATGTATCTTTCCGGATTAAAAAGAAAATATTCAAATATATATATATATATATATATATTAGCAGAAAAAAAATTACTAGTAATAAGCAACTCCATCCATTCGATTATGATACCTTCAATAAAGTAATGGGAGTATACTTTTTTTGAAAAAAAAAAATAGCAAAGTAGTGAAAATTATGTAAAACTTGCATTTGATTTTTTTTTTTTTTTTAATTTTACAACGCAACACAACCACACAACTATTAAATGTTTTCGAAAAATCATCTCATATCATTTTCAATTACAAAATGCTAAATAATTTAATATATTTACGTAACAAGTTGTCTAACAACTATTCTAAAACACAAATAACTTTTTATAAACTCAACTTACTTTCTACCCGCCCATTAGATGTCAACTTAGTGATTTAAAGTCCTAGAAGTAGTATACTAGTATGTACTTAAGATTTATTGGGATCAAATCTCTTCGATCTAAATCATTACATATGTAGCTTTTTTTAACCGTAAAAAAAAATACTTAACTCCAACTCGAATCTAAACCTTGATAGCATCATGATGAATTGGGTGAAATTGGAGCACCTTCCTTATCTACCAAAACTTGAGTAGACACTCTATAAAGTATTTGGTACGCATCAGCAATTCACCACAATATTTGCATGGTAGGAATTGGAGGAGGTAAATCAAATATGTATTAATGTATTTATGTATGCATCTAATGCGAGCGATTTTAGCTTACGAAATGCTAACTTCATAATTGCACTTCACGTCATCACTCCCTTGTTCATCCATTGGTTGAGTACATAATAGTATAAACTATAAATGGGTCTCTAATAGTTGTATTATTATATAATTAAAATAAAAGCTAATTATAAATTTATAATAATACAAATTCAGAATATTCATGTGTTTTTGACGTTGACCTTTATGGATAAATTGGCTGCTTTCTAGCTTTGATAATTTCTTTTGGGACACTCATTCAAAGTCGAAAGCAAAACAAATTTTTTAAAAGTTAAATCTTTCCCTTTTTATTTTTATTTTTATTATTATTATTTATTTATTTATTGGCAACTCTACTCTGCTATTGAACAAAACAATAATACTCGTATTCTGTTGCTTTGTACTATGTGGTACTGAGTAATAAACACATTAACGTTTGCAATTAGAAGTATAAAAACTTTCTTATATGACTAAAATTCTAGAAACATGGCAATAGTTTTCATAAATTTAATTTAGTTGATGTTGTGATTTGTGAATACTCTTAAGTCTTAAAGAGTTCAAGTTGTGATCAAAACTAGCAAGCTGGCCATATTCACAACACTTGCGCACCCATGCGGAATCTAGTTTGGGGGTGCGTAACCTAGCATGTTGGAAATTAAATATTGGCATGTTGCAAGAGGTGTTTTTTTTTTTTTTTTTTGAGTGTTTAGAGAGCCACAAGGGCGGAATGAGAATCGATCGCATGATCTCTGGAATCGAGAAGAAAGCTCTAACCACTTTAGACATGTCTCACTCTCTTGCAAGAGGTTATGATAGTACGTAGTAGTATTAAGCATGTAAATACAATTCTTTATACAAGTAAAATATAAACGATGGATAGTAACCACTTTGTTCGGGCTTAACTAGATTTTAAACCCGTATAATGTACAAATGTTTAAGTAAAATTGATCTGATCAAATATTTCAAAATTTTGGTTATTCTTTATGAGTTGAAATAATTATTTGCCTTGTGTGTTGACGGTTGAACTTGAACTCACACTTAACTAACACCTAGAGTTATATGTTCATATAAGCCATATTAAGGATCCAAGAAGTTAATTAAGTTAATATGGAAAGCTAGTATTATATGTCATTATAAGAGTAGGATGCATAATGAAAATTACTAAAAGTAGTCCATAAAAATAAATGAATTGCTTAGACAATTTGATATGACATACGGAGTACGTGATATCGATCAAATTTTAACACTACAACTGACAACTCTTTTCAGCCCACAAATAATTTTTCATTTGAATTTTTATGATTGGTAAAAAAACCTATATAATCCGTATTAAAATGCACTTGTGAAGTTGTGAATTGTGATGAGTTGTGCACCAAATGATCGTCTTAAAAAAATATACATTTGGGTTTTAAAAAAAAAAAAAAAACATTTGGAGTCCATGATAATATGAAACGCGGCAAATGACAACTTAATAACAAATTAACAAGTATTTAGTTTTAGAAGTGGATCATCATAATTATTTAATGTTATAAATTAGTATGTATAACGTAGCAAATATAGTAGCAAAATATATTTACTTCCACGTCCAATAGATCCCTACATTATTTCCATTAACCAATCCTCCACATGTACAATTTTCATTGAGTTTAAATAATTTTTAGTTTTTTTTTTTATTTTTTTTATTTTTATTATTTTTATTTTTATTTTTATTTTTATAATGGCTTAGTGTATTTTATTCTATATAAGATATTTTTTTCTTATTTTTATTAAAGCTTATTTTTACTTTTTTGCAATTGTATTTGTTCTTTGATTAATATTATTAATGTGAAATTATTTTTGTTAAACATTTATTTTTTACAAATATTTTTACTAAACTTAACCTATTTTTTAGTTATTTTAAACGGACATTAAATTAAGAGTTTACTTAAATAGATACAAGGAGATATTTTAAAAACTTCTGGTTAATCATGATATATATATATATATATATATATATATATATATATATATATATATATATATATATATATATATATATATATATATATATTTAAAAAAAAAACATTTTGGGTTAAAATGTTTAATCTTAATTAATGACCCTATCCTTGACTTCTAAGCAACAGCAAACAAAATCCAAACCAATAAGCACACGTTTTGGGGCAATCCATCCATCACAAACTCTACTATAAATTTGTCAATCATAATTCACCTTCAAATGGTTCATATTTCACAACAAAAAAAAACCCACCTTTTTCTCTTCGTTTCTCTCTTTTCTATATTGATTCTTGTAGAAAACGAGAGAAACTCTGAGCTGCCATGGCTAAACCTTGTCATTATATTCTTAATCACATATTAATACCAATTTTAATGGTGTTTTTTCTCTGTTTTATAATTACTGAATCTGCCCCTCAAAGTTCTATTGTTACTCAACTTCCTGGATTTAATGGCACTTTTCCCTCCAAACACTACTCTGGGTATTGATTTATCATTGCTTTAATATAATTTTCCCATTTTTCTATTTTAATTTTAATTTGCTCTGTTTATTTATAATTTAATCTGCTATTTGACTTGTAGTCAAATGAATGAGGAATGACTAAATGAGTGTGGTTTTTTTGTTTGAAATGAAAAACTGTTATGGTAAATTTTGAGTATTTCTTGATATGTTGATGTTGTATAAATGATGTGTTAAGGTATGTGACAATTGATGAGAGTCACGGGAAGAAATTGTTTTACTACTTTGTTGAATCAGAGAGAAACCCATCAGAGGATCCTGTTGTTCTTTGGCTTAATGGAGGACCCGGATGCTCGAGTTTAGATGGCTTCGTGTACGAGCATGGTACGGGTTTTAAACTAGTTAAACAATACGTTCTGTTGTTACAACTTAAGGTTATTTTATTTTTCAAATGTTATGAATTTGGTAAAGGTTAATATTCACTGATGAATACTGTCTACGTGAATATGAATTAGTTTTTTTTACTGTGCATCTCAGGTCCTTTCAATTTTGAGGCAGCAAAGACAAAAGGAGGCTTGCCAAAGTTGCATATTAATCCATACAGCTGGTCTAAGGTCATAATCGGCCTCGTGTTATCTTATCAATGTGCATAGATTAGTCATTTAATTCGTCGTTTGGAAATTAATTTGATGTTATTACAGGTTTCCAATGTTATATACTTGGATTCTCCAGCAGGAGTTGGGTATTCTTATGCACAAAACATTAGTGAGTATGATACCGGGGACCTTAAGACCGCCTCTGATACCCATACATTCCTGCTCAAGGTACATTTCAATTTAGGCTTTAATGTGATGAATTTGGTTGATATTATAATCTCTTGGTATCTTGATCGTTATGGTATCATATATTATATTGCTGAAATATTTTTGATATTATTATGATATCCTAATGATCATGATACCAAGAGATATATGATATCTCATAATATATATCTAATTAGATAATTGGATACTTAATCCTGATGCTGCTGATATGGTGTGTGCAGTGGTTTGATATCTATAAAGAGTTTGTTGCAAACCCATTTTTCATCGCGGGTGAGTCTTATGCTGGGATTTATGTGCCAACCCTTGCTTCAGATGTTGTGAAAGGTAAATTTTCCTAAGATTTGTGAGAACATGATCGTGACATTCCATTTTATACAAAGGGTAATAATAATGTCTTGGTATGCAGGACTTGATGCCGGTGTAAAGCCTGTTATCAATTTAAAGGTAATTGAAGTTTGTAACTTGGTGCATTGAAAGATGGATTCATGTCCAATTTTTAATACCTTGTTGTGTTGGTGTACAGGGTTATTTGGTAGGAAATGGTGTTACAGATGAAACCTTTGATGGAAATGCTTTAGTGCCTTTTGCACATGGAATGGGCTTGATCTCTGATCAATTATATCAGGTACACAGTTTTCATCTATGTCGGAAACTATCCCTGTCCTCATCTTTATTGACTCAACAATAATTCAGATCTTACCATGATACTACTGTAAATGTTACATGAAGTTTTTCGTAGTCATTTACAGCAAATGTTAGCATTCTCACATCATTTATTTCAAAGGAAATCTTCCTACTGAACTAAACAAGTTACAAAGTTGTTTCATAATTTGCAAGAAAACCTGGCTAGCATTGCAGAACTTGTTCGTTTATCCTTTTTTTAAATAAGGATAATCATACCAAGAAAACATCTGTTGGCTGACAAATTATAGTATAAATCTGCAGGAGGTTGTCACTCAGTGTGAAGGAAACTATTACAATCTGAAATCTGATAGTTGTGATGCCTTGCTTTCAAAAGTTAACCAGGTTATTTTACTTTTTAAATTCTGGAAATTTATTATATACATTGATTTGGTTAGGTTTCTTCTTAATGCATTTTGATCAACTGCAGGATGTTGATGGATTGAATATATATGATATTCTGGAGCCTTGTTATCACTCCCCTGACTCAGATATGCAGAGTACTGCTCATCTAAGACTACCTTCGAAAATTTCCAGCTTCAAGGCATTAGGAGAAACTGAAAGACCTCTTCCTGTGAGGAAAAGAATTTTTGGCCGTGCTTGGCCCCTCAGAGCTCCTGTGAGAGATGGACATGTTCCTACCTGGCCGGAACTTGCTAACAGCGCTTCTGTTCCTTGCATTGTAAGTTAGCAATAACAGTTCTTTGATGAAATTTTGTACTAAATTGCATAGTACTATACAAAGGACTCATTTTTAATGTGTATATATGCAAAAATTTGAAATATATAGAATGATGAAGTTGCAACTTTGTGGCTGAATGACAAGGCAGTGAGAAAAGCAATCCATGCTGAAGAGGTAAGACTACACACCCTTCTCCTTTCTCTGCCAAAGAGATACAAATAAGTATTTTTAAATGTTAAACTCATTATTCTTTTGATAATGCTCCAGGAAAGTGTGTCGGGTCCCTGGGAACTTTGCACAGGCAGGATTTCATTTAGCCATGATGCTGGAAGCATGATTACATACCATAAGAACCTCACTTCTCGAGGTTATCGAGCCCTCATATACAGGTTAATCAGCTTTTTGATATCTATTAGTGAGATTATTAAATATATATCAGCATAATTGTACTGAATGTAGTTTTTTCAATTTTTTGTCAATCTGACAGTGGAGACCATGATATGTGTGTTCCATACACTGGGAGCGAGGCATGGACAAAATCTGTTGGGTACAAAGTAGTAGATGATTGGAGGCCATGGGTTTGCAATGAACAAGTTTCTGGGTGAGTCTCGGTCTTCAGACTTTGTGATTATAATATACTGATGGCATTGTATGTTAAACAAGTTTCTTTAGTTTACAGTGGTAATAAAATTAACTGCTATTCATTATAATGCAGGTTCACACAGGGGTATGAGAAGAATCTCACTTTCCTTACTATAAAGGTTGGTCCATGCAGCTATTTTTAGCTAATTACACAAGATTTTTAAAAGTTTTAAATAGTTGCAGTTATTTTTAGCATGAGTAACACATGAATTCTTTAATATGAGTCTGATTGCAACATGGAACATTTCTGGTGCAGGGGGCAGGACATACGGTACCAGAATACAAACCGCGAGAAGCACTGTACTTTTATAGCCAGTTTCTGGCAGGGAAAAGTATATAAAATATTTCATGTTAATGAGAGTTAAAGTTGATTCATCTGACAAATAAACTTCTGTAGGATACAATTTGAAAGAAATATATATGGTCATGAATCTTAAATGCATAATTGTGTATGTATCTGTTAACTTTGTTGGCTTCTGACTCTGTTAAAATTTTTGCTACTCTTGCTGATATTACATTGGAGACTCGAGACATGTCCTACATTATAAAAATAAAAAAATAAAAAAAAAGAACGTCTGCAATTTTGACAGAAAGGATAAATCTGAAAACCTAGGAAGATAGAAATACAGTACAAGGTTATAAATAGAACAATCAGAAAATTGTAGTGGTTTTGGTAACATATCATTTGGTTCTACATTTCTGTCCATTTCTACTTTGAAAATGCGCGTTTAGTTATGTTGTTACATTGCAACATAGCTATGTAAGTCTTTTGCAAAATCATTTCATTAAGAGCAGATTTAGATAAAAGAGCTATTAGCAGTTTAACAGGAGAACTACTGCTTACAGATGATCAGTGTTTTTATTTTAAGACATTCAGCCTGGCTTAACTGACAACACAAGATGAAATAAGCATCTAATGATGATATTCATGCCTTTCTATGCTTCCACAAAAGATTAAGGCATTTTGCACCAAGAAAATATAAATGATAAAGACATTTAAATAAGCAAGGCAATTTAAGTAGCTTTGTTCAAAAAAAGTAGCCTGCAATTTGTAATAACTAACACAGTATGTTTCCTGAAACATAACTAAAGATTCTCTGAAATACACTACAGAAAATTGCATTATCAAATCAGAATAATCCCTCTCCCAGGCTTTGATCAAGATTTATTGGCTCCGGAATAGAAATTTTTGCAGACAAACAGGCTCTTCTCTCCTCTAGTTCTTGCTTCACTTGAGCAGTGCGAGCAAGGAAATCTCTTTCCTCTTTATCAACCTGAGCTTTCTCCTTGTCAATAGCCATCAAATACTCAATCAGAGGCTTGTTTTTGTGCAGGGCCAAAGCCCTTTGAACAAAAGGAACTAACCAGCCTACCGACAATCTTGCACAATGAAGGTCATACAGAACGGATTCTAGGTCCTTAGCTAAGGAATCAGTCAAGGTCCTAGCTGTAGTATTTTGAAGAGTGATTATGAGCTTTGCCAGTGATTCTAAGGCACAGGTTAACATGTCTTTGCTTTGTACTGTATACTTTCCAACTAGGATGTCATGCTTGTTCCAAATGAGTTGCAAAGTTGACAATAGGTTGGGCTTGATGTCTAGTGATTCTAAGCTTTGAAACTTGTGATTTGACTCGCAATCCTTCGAAGCCTACAACACCAAAGAAGAGAAACCGAAAACATTATTCCTTGAAATTTCCGTGTAAGATTTTTATAGAGATGCTTGCATAAAATCCTGAAGGAAAAAAGCATGCTTACCAATACTGATGGAATTTCAGGTGTAGTTTCTGCAGCAGAAGCTTTCTTTGACGTATCTGGTGCATTGCATGAACAAAATCAAGTCAGAAATAAGGGAAAAAAGAGGCATTTACAATAACATAACATGAAAAACAAGCGAACTTGGGCTGTCAAAAAGGTTGAATCATCAGATTGGGGGATGGTTGGTGAAGTTACCTTCCTCATGCTTTTTATCAGAACCAGGGGGTGGGAGGTAGGTTTTGCTTTTGCTGCAGAGTCTGATGTGCTTTGTTCCTTGGATTTTGGTGCACGCGAGGGAGTCAAGACATGTTCGTGTGAAGACGTGCCACCTTGGTTGCCTGTACCAGGTTCCATCATTGCATCTTCCTCAGGTTCACTTCATAAATATGCAAAGATGAAGTAGAAATGTCAAGTTTAGCAGTTAATCAGGCATATGTCTATGCAGACAATGGTTCTCTCATTTAACAGGATTAAACTTAAATTTCTCTGAACTATAGAGTAAATGTGCTATCCCAAAATAACTGTCCAGCTGCATCTTATACATACTACTGCACACTAATAAGTCTCTTTACCTCAGTTCTTACCTTATCAACCTTAAACAAAGCTGTAAGACACAAGTGATGCATTGTCCGATCCAACGAAAGAAAAGGGTAACACATACCATAGCATATTAGCATTACTAGACAATTTATCAAGTAATATTTCAGCTGTATAAAGCTTAATTACAATATCTGAAAGTAAAATCTTTATTCCCTCTTTAAAAAATACAGTTAATTCAAATCATCTGCACATATACACTATAATTATTACACACCACAACAACAATGATAATTCAGCATGATTCCTACTTGTATAATATATGATCATCTTAGTTTATGTACTATGTTTGGTTAGTGGGTTTAATTTTTTATTCTCCTAAGAAATAGCTTCTGCATCCTGGCTGAATATCCGTTCAAATAAGTTTCGCAAAAGCAAACACAACTCCAAAATTGAAAATATATCTTCACAAAAACCTTGAATTACTTTTGGACTTTAAAGACTAAAATTGATCACCATTGAGAGTGTGATGGAGATGAAGTTGATTGAGCCTGCAAAACCCAAGACGGCGGAGAATAAAAGTCAAGAGGACTGCCCGGGGAACCCACAGTCAGTATGGAATCATCATGATCATGCTCTCCCAACTTAAAATACTGAATCTTCTCTTCAACAACCTTAGATTCACCGGGTTTACTATAGGGACGAAAGGCGCTGTTGGAGAAGATAATGCAATTTCCAAGCTCAAAACCAGGAAATTCAGCAGCTGAAACAAAGAAACTACTCGATTTCAAAACAAACAACACCTTAGGATCGTAATCATCCCCAAAACTCTCAACCTTAACCCAACTCCATGACTTCTTATCAGCGAATTTACACAACTTATAAACTTTGATCAAATCATTACTTCGCCTAATCAAAAACATATCCCCAGATGACTTTAATCCCACAAGACGCTTCCTCGATCCCTTGCTTACACAATCCGGCTTAATCACCGGCTTTTCGACTAGGGTCTTAAGTACAGCAAATTGATTAGTAAACATCCTGTACAACTTCCCAACTCTATCAATCACATAATTTACACCACAAAAACACACTACATCATCGAACTTGTCAAGCGAACCATACGAAATATCAAACCAAGGCAACTCCGTTCCATACCGAAACTCCGGCCTAACCGCAGGAGACCCCCCTAACTGCCCCCCTCTAAACAAAACCAACAACGAACCATCATCGACACCGGTCGGAACACTTTGATCATCAAAAAACGGCAGCACTTTATCATGACAAAACAGAGCCCTTGAAGGGTTACACTTATCCTTTTCATCAGCCATATGGTAATCAACAACAACACAACGCGGCCGAAACCGGTCTAGGCTAAAATTCTCAGGAATATCAGGCAGTAGATCACCGGAAAGAGGATGGCAGAATTGGAATTTCCCTTTAGTGATCTCAACGGAGGTGACTAGCCATGGTGGGCCAGAGACAGGTGGTCGGAGGAGGAAAACAGAGGATGAAAACAGAGTTTCCAAACCCACATCGTACGGTAAGAGGGCGGAGATTGCGGTGGCTCCACGCCATTTTTTACAAACTGATTTGAAGTTTTGTAGATCTTGTTTCTTTCTAAGGCGTTTCGCAATCGATCGGAGAATCTCCACCGGAAGGTCCGCCCAGAGTATTTGCCGGCGAGAATTTCGCATATTAGTACAAAAAAGAGTTGATTTTGGTTTCAATTCAAAGAGTTGAGCTTGAGGTTTAATGGAGGAGAGAGAAAAAATGATGAACAAGAATTATTAGTGTTAAGGTTAAGCATCTCCGTCTCTTCGTATTGGTTGTTGACTTGTTGTTTTTATCTTCCCGCGAAAAAACTATGTTTTTCGCGCGCAATATGAATGTTTGGTAATAGGGTTGGCCCAAAAGCAGCTCATTTGGGCCTAGCTTGAATTTAATCAACCTAAGTGAATAAAATACATCATACTACATAGTTTTCAAGCCATGTTCGGTTTTTAAAATTTTCGTAAATTAGAATATACAGTAAAAGTTTTCTAGAGAAATATAACATAATAGTTAATTATATGTAATAAATAGTCAAAAAAAAATTATAATAATAATAAATATAATGAATTTTCTAAGAAAATTAATAATAAATAAATATAATGAATTTTCTAAGGAAATTAATGCTTAAAAAAAAATTACCCTAAAAAAAACTCTAGTTCAATTGGGAGTACTAGTAATATTCTACTTAGGGATGTCAGTGGGGCGGGTCAAGTAGGAGACCCGCCCCATCCCCGCCCCAATGGGGCGGGGATGGGTCTCGGTTTGGCGGGTGGTGGGGCGGGGATGGGGATAAAAATCATACCCGCCATGGGTGATGGGGCGAGGGTGGATTTTAAGTTGTACCCGCCCATCCCCGCCCCGCCCCACCCGCCCCACTTCGTACCCGCCCTATACCCACATCTATATATCTTTTAAAGTAAAATTACATACTTTTATTCTATTTATAAAATAATTACATGAAATACAATATTAATTATAATACTTTGTACGACATTTATATTATAACACAAAAATGTGTATATAATGTTTTATTTTATAATTCGTATTAATTATGTAAGATTGTGTATTTGATATACGGATATTAGGTGGATCTTGGGTGGGGATTAGGCGGGTTTTTGGTGGGGATTAGGTGGGAATGGATATCCAAGTGGGGGGTGGGGCGGGGATGGTTTTGGAGTTGTACCCGGTGGGGCGGGGATGGGGATGAAAATTGGACCCGCCGCGGGGATGGGGGTGGGGATGAAAATATTAGGTGGGGATGGGGATGGGAAGGCCAACATTCGCCCCACCCCGCCCCATTGACATCCCTAATTCTACTCTATAGTTTATTTCTAAAAAATTTATACATTTGTTTCTGTGACAATTTATCAAAAGTTTTATAACTTGCCTTAACAAAAAAAAAAATACAGAGTGACTGTAGCAAATAAAAGAAAAGAATCATATTTCTTTTAAAAAAAAAAAACAAAAGAAAAAAAATCATATCCTTCTTCAAAAAATATTGGTAACTTAGCAAATAAAAGAAAAAGATCGCATTGAGGGAGAAGATAGGATTATTAAGCTCCCTTGCACAAAGCGGTCTAGCCTGAACACTTTCAGAAGACTTTATCATTTCAATTTGATGAAGACAAACAGATGATGGAAATTCCGGGATAATACTTTGACCTTCACATAGAAATGTTTTAATTTGGCTTGCTCTTAATTTAATTTTAATTGGCTATTTCTGGGAATTTAGATGCATATAATTCCCTTTCAAAAAAAAAATGCAAATAATTAATTAATTAATTACTATAGCTAGTTCTTAAACTTTCTTGTCAAAATAATTATTCCTTCCCCCCCCCCTCCCCCCCCGCGAAGGGAAGGTGCAAAATAAATTAATAAACCATAGAGTTAGTTACAGACATCAAGTTTTGAGCTGAGACATCACTAGCTGAAACAAAAGAGTTCACAGTAGTAACATTTTTCGTTCAACGCCTCCAGATTGCACCTAGCTTCCTTCGCCAAAATGTCAGCCACCCCATTCGTGCTTCTCTGCTCAAAGTGCATATCCAGATGGAGGAGCCTAGTGCTGGGAAAATGGTACTCCGTAGTGAACATCAAACAATGTACTGCAATACTAGAAAACAGAATTAGGTCCACATTTTTCTGTCTAAAATAGAAGTTCACATCTTTCTATCTAATTAACTGGTAAGAGCAAAATAAAAAGAGGTTTGTCATCTTTATGTCATCTGCTTGGAGTTAACCAGTCCACTTTCAAGCCTACGCGTTGTAGGTCAAACATAGCCGACTTTATGTCATCTGCTTGGGAATCAGTTAAGCTTCTACCTTTAGTGATCTTAAGACTAATAATGAGCTTTGCCAACAACTCTAATGCACAAGCTCGTATCCTCTTGTTACTGACAGTAGCTTCAGAAAATAGGCTACCATGTTTAACCCAAATGGATTCTAAAGTAGGCAAAAGCTCAACCTTGATATCAACCCCTTCAAATTTGACAGTTGAAGAGCAATTTATACATGCCTGCAAATATGTGTAGAAGAAGAAATGCAATAAACATGCTGCAATTATCAAGTGTACTAAAAGTAACAAGCAGTATAGGCTTACTAATGGCACTAGTGTTGGAGTCGAGTGAGTGGAATTTGCATTGTTGGAGACCTTTTCCGTTGAGAAATCTTGTCCTGCATAAGAATTATTGAATCAAGTTTATATTAGTAATGCAGGTATTAATCAAATTTAAAGCTGCCATATAATCTAACAAAATAATTACACATAATCAATGTGATCACATATACCTTGGAAGTTGGGTGTTGAGCTATCTAAATCTTCTGCATTCTTCAGATTATTCATCTTGGAAGTCCCTGTATTGTTCAACTCATATTCACTTGTCAACAGAGGAACATAAAGTAAATCATTCTTCATTGCTTCGTCAGATAAATTTGTTTGAACATCACATTGTTCACTAGAGGAGCTTCTTTGTATCTCTTCTTCATCCTCCTCCTCAGACTCGGCTGTTCCACTGTTGTCATCAGCTTTAGAGGACTGACTAGGGGAATCTAACTGCATTTCTTCATCTTTTTCGTCGTCAGAAGAGCTTTCACCTGATGAATCAGTGAGCATCCCTTCTGCATGACCATCAGAAAGAGATTTTATGCTGCTGGAAGTTTCTTCATCTGTATTTTCTTGGCTGGTAGATCCTGACTCGGACTCTATATCATCATCACTACATTTGCTTCTTAAACAAACAAACAAATAGTCATCAACCAAATTTTAGCAATAATCATTCCATCCCAAATTGGCAAATTGTGATTAAAGAAAACTATGAAATCTCCTCTTTTTGTTATCATTCGAGTTTAGCAAGAGGCTGTCATTTGTTTTGGTTGGGACTTGTAATTGAAGCAAGGGATTGAACTATTTCAGCTATAACATAAGATCTTGGATTTAGCTTGTCCTAGTATTTGGGAACAACATGATCTTTAGATCTTATATTCATAGGAACACAGAAACATCATTTAATTTATACATATAAACTTCTTACCTGACTTGCAAATAATAAGCCCTCAAATTTTGTTGAATGCCAATAGAAACAAGAAAAAGACGTCTAAAATCCAAAATCATGCCAAAACTATAAACAAGGACAAATGGTCAATTGCCAAAGTTCGTTTAAAAAAACAAGAACATATAACACATACAAATAATGCATAACAGTTTACTTGAATCAAGTAAGAAATTCTTCAATATCATAATCTGTCAGCCAATGTATAACAGCATATATAAAATAAAAACATTATACATTATAATGAACATGTTTGCATAAACACATACCCTTGGCCTTGGCAGGCAAACCATGTAGGAGGTGGCCATATCATTTTAGAAAATTCAGGATATAAAGAGGATAACAATCGAAAGTTATCCCCTCTTCCTAGTCGATAAACTCCAACTTCGTCATCCTCATAACCAAACAATCTTCCATCAGGGTTATCACGCCCACTATACTGAGTAAAACAATTAGCAGCAAACACAATACAGTTCCCTTTACACCCAGGAAAATCTTCAGTCTTTGCAAAGAAAGAGTGATCAATACCAACAAAAATCACCCTCTCATTTCCAAAACTTTCTAAAACATCCCATCTTTTGCATTGCTCATTAAACTTGTACACCGTGAATCTTGAGTTTTTCGCCCTCCATTGATCCCGTAACACTAAGTACAGCTCCCCTGAAGTGAAGTCCACCACCAGCCGCTTCCTCCTGTCAGTAGGTCTACCGCCCCAGCATATTGGTTCGGTCACTAACACACCTGCCACAGTCATTGCCTCAGTATCCAGCCTATAGAGCCTCCCTTTCCTGTCTATAGCACAGTACATTTTCTTGAACTCTACCACATCATCCAAGTAAATGATGTGCCAAGACTGCCAACAGTTGCGATTTACCCGCGATTGTAAACTCTTCCAAGAATACCTTGCTTCTTCATCATCATCTTCACTGTCATGTTCAACTACGAGGCTTTCTGCTATTCTTACAGTTAGTTTTCCTAAATTGCCCTTGTGGTACAACACCAAGAATTCTACAAAAGAAGGGGAAGTTGAACAGAGGAGAACTTTGTGAACACAGTCAGAATACTTGAAGTTATACCCTTGAGCAAGTTCAGAGACTCGAAACCGATTCAAGTTTAGAGTAGATGGAAACTTGGTAACTCGCTTTGCAGTGAGGGGGTGGCGAAGCCGGAGTTTCCCCGGGTTCGATTCCTGAACCTTGATCATCCATGACTTGATAGAAGCAGAGGAAGGCTGAGAAGGGGTGATCAGATAAACCGAGCTAACTTGGGGTACTAAAGGGCGGTTCGAAAGGTGAAAAGGAGGAGTGTCTGATGATGAAGAAATGGGAATGGAAAGAGGGAGATTAGGAGATAGGATGTTTACAGGTAGAGGAAGAGAACATTTCCTCCATTTTCTACAAACCCGCTTAAAGCGGAGGGTTTGATCTTGGGTTTTGAGTAGTTTTGAGATTTTGTGGATGATTGGTCCAGGAAGATTGGACCATGAGTCATGCCGCGGGCGGGAACTGCTCATGTTTTGAGTAGTTTTGAGATGACAATGTTTTTCTAGGTGATGTTAAGTTAATGTAGAGATGGGAGCCATGGAAGTTTCACGGTTGATGGATTTATGAAGAATATAATGGAGTCAGTGGTAATAATAAAGATGGTAAATTAGTCTTCAGTTCATATTAATTGTTGATAGGATGGTTTGCAAAAATGTTTAAAATAAGGTTGATGAAAAATTCTTTAAAAAAAAAAAGGTTGATGAAA